GAGCTCCGGCTGGGCTGGAAATCAATGATCCTTTTCCTTCATAGGTCGACGATCGAGTGACAGGACGGTTCAGACAGATAAAGCCGAGCAGTGCATAAGGCAAGCGGCGACCCCGTCGACAAATAAGAGCCGGTTCAACGTCTACAACAGCATCAGCTGAGACTGTTGGCTAATAGACCAAAATAGAAGATCTGGGACACGAAGCGTGGCCCAGTGACAGGCACCGCAGGATATCAAAGGCTGGATAGTGGCTCTTTATCGTGGCAAACGGCCGCAGAAATTATGGGAGAATACATGAACATGGAAAATAGGTTTTTAAAAACGGTCAGAAAGTAGAGCGCGGGAGAGAAAACATAAAAGGGAAGAGTGACTTGACCAACTCAGCCAGATGCTGCGTTGGGCACACAAGATCGGGCTTGTGCAGATGTGGAGTGACTAAAACACCAAGTTTGATATCACAGGCAGGTAGGAATAGAAGCATAGTCTCGCGAGAATTCATAAAAAAGAAAAAGTAAAAAGGTCACTCAATTCAGTACAATTGCGCAAATACATAGGAAATTGGGTGTTTCCCTCAACTATGCTCTGAGGCGAATGGGAAATAGAAAATACACTGTCCAAGTCAGGCGACTTCGGAATAAAGAAAACACAACATGCTGAGACGCTTCGCTCATGAGTTCCGGGCCCATTCAAGGCAGATAAGGGGTATCTTTTCTTTCCATATTATTGGCACTTTCGGCCAAAATTCCCAACAATTCTCCGCTAGAGGGCTTGGGCAGTCAATGAGACAAGTCGGCATTAACGTCATTAGTCAAAAACTACACAGTATCCCTCCGGGTCCAGGACGGTGCAGGGTCGCGACCGCGAGCAGCAAGTGACAAGAAGGGTCGAAAATTAGTCCACACGAACAAAAATAAGAAAAGGTTCGCGAAACAAGATATGCTATGCTGAAGGGGTATTGGACGATGACCGGCTGCAAGTCATTAGCGGAACCGGCGCACATCTGGACCAGTTCTCCCCGCATATTGTTTCTTCTGGGGTGCAGCGCTGGCCACGGCAACATTACGGTTCAAGCGGCTGGTTCTCCACCTCTCGTACCAGACCACACGGCTCGCTTCGCGGAGGTCAGAGCGCCATTCGTTGAATACAGCCTCCTTCAGCTTGAGGAAATCACAGTGCTCGGCGTTGTACGGGTCAGCGAACCCCCAGGCGAATTTGCGCCCAACAGGCTCGTCGCCAGCCCTGAGCGAATGTGGATCAGGGGACAAGATAGTGAAAGGGATATGCTGAACGACGGCTTGGGAACCGGAAGACTTGCGCGTGCTCTGGCTGCGTTGCGAAGGCGAACGGGGAGACCGGGGCTCTGCACCTTCCTCGTTCGCAGCGCTGGCCTCCGCATCCTGTTCGGTATCTTGACCCTGCGCCTCTTCGTCCTCATCATCGCTCTCAGAAGATGTGTACTCTTCCTGGTCATCCAAAGAAAGGATCTCCAGCGGATCAATATTGGCTTTCTTCAAGCTATCCCAGACAGCCTTCCTGAGGTATGCCATGTGGGCTGTAGTGATCGTATCGGCCTTGCTGATAACCGGGACAACTGTGGTCTTGCCCACTATGGTGCGCAGGACCTGAATATCAAGACGCTCGTCAAGAACACCGATGACAGGTGTATCGGTTGCCCTTGGAGTTCCCTGTGCAGCCCGCTCTGCAGCCGCTATGTTCTGGTCCAAACGGACTGGATCCAGGACCAGAAAGGTGCAATGTATATGGGTGTCTCGAGCTCCAGGTGACCGAACAACCTTCATTTCCTCACTTAGCGTTTCCTCGAACTTACTTTCCAGGAACCCAGTCACCCCTCGTAGCTGGATGTCAACGATGTTCTTCTCCAGGCCTTGGGAGTCCCACAGGGTCAGACCAACTCGTTCGCCGTCGATCTCTGTCTCCAGATAGTGGGAAACGTAGCCCTCGTTGGCGGGGGATTGGCGAGCCTGGTATGCGATTTCCTCTGGTAGGCGGGAGGGGTGCTTGTGGGGCGGCAATTCCAGGGACTTTTTGAGGAAATTGAGAAACGAGGTCTTGCCCGAGTTACTCGCGCCAACGACAAGGACACTAGAAGCATATTAGAACTTGACCCCAGCCAGCAATTGACTGTAGACAGTGCGACTTACTTGTACGGGGTGGGATCCTTGCGCCGACGCAACCGGCGCGGATTGTTGACAGTACTGACGGCACTGCTTGCGTAGCTATAGCGTCCACGGTGTGTCATGCTTTCTGCTCGTGCATTGGCGTCGCTCGGTTCTGGGGCAACTGGCGTGCTTATCGTACTGCGGGGCACAGCTTGCTGCTGCGATGAGTCGGGCTGGCTTGCAAGTGCAGCAACAGTGTCCCGGCGCTCATCGCCGCCAAAGGTCTCAAGAACTGGGGCCGGCGAGAGATCAGGTAGACGCGGAGGTTGCTGGTACATCATTGACTCGCGCTGGCGGCGAGCCTCTTCTTCCGCCGTCTGAGCCTTCGGCATCTTCTTCCCGTTCTTGCTGCCGGACGAGCGTCTTTCACCTAAAATCTCAATGGACTTGGATCGACGAAGAAAACCCAAGGAAGATGTACGGCGTTGGTCTTTGGTATCCGTGACGACAGGAGGGACTTCTGCGGAAGGCTGAGTCCGACCCGGGGTCCGGGGTGTTGGTGAAGCGGTTGCCATTGGTTTTTATTATGGGCGCCCTACCCTTATCACTCACTGGCTGTAACACAATTGGGGGGATTTGCCAAAGAAAAGTGGAGACGTAGGGAATGAATCGTGTCTCAGATATAGACGCACTCTTTTCGTCCCAGAGGATCAGTTAGTTTAGTGCACCCGGGTTCTTCTTGGGTTCGATCTTGAATAGGAAGGCCCAGAACGGGTTCAATTGATTTTAAGTCACCCTAGCCCAAAAGACAAACGAAGTCAGTCCCAACTCATAAACACAATTGGAACCGGTCTCCAAGACTGAGCTAATGATTGTGCGGTTCTGCGGGATTGTCGAACGATCATATTATTTTCGGGTGTAAGGTAGGTATGATCAACGTACCAAACTTACACGCTTATTCTGGAACCAGTCGCGTGTTCCTCCTCCTTTTTGTCCAGTGTAGCACAACTGCCTCAACGAATGATCAGATCCTCAATCGAGGAAGCGAATAAATACTCGACCAACGTTAGAGTGTCGGTGACCAAAGGTGCAATCAAAAACGACACAGCTTCTCAGTTATCACAGAATCGACATGCACAAGCCCAGCAAGCGATTGTCGATCTTAACCCACGTCGCCTGTAGAGAAGCAGCGGGGCTTTGATGGAAAGAACAAACGGTTTAAGACTGTCTGTCCTTTTTGACTCACGATCCTACCAGGGAGAGTTGAGGAGAAGCCTGCTCACAGCGTCCGACTAAGGCGGCGCATACAATTGCGATAAGATCAAATAATATCAGAAGAAGAGAAGGATGAAGAGGGTGAGAACAGAAAGAAACGGCACAAAAGGATGACGGCGCTGGAGGGCAGATGATGATCGACCAGTGAAAACGGAGAACAGGCAATGCTTTCCTGTCACCGAACCGACTCGTTGCGCAAACAAAAAGTCCAATTGACTTGACCTCTCACTTTCCTGTCACTTTTGTTGGGAGTCTCAGAGCTTGCTGAGTCCTCCGATACCCTCTTGTTGTTTCGTTATTTATTTTTTTGTGTTTTTCTTTTTGAGGCAAAAGTTGATTTTCCTTATTCCTTTTCTTTCTTCTATAATTTCTTTTGTCGCCGCACCTCGTCGTCTACTGGGCGGAGAAGCAGCTCGGGAAGCTTTTTTGGAGCTGGATGAAATTCAGGGGCAAAACGGCAGCCAGCAGGGGAGCTCGACCTTTCCCATTCTCCCCCACTCAGCACGCTCTCCGAATGTATTAGGTTGCTACTTAGGTTGCTTCTAACTCCCGACTCGGTCTAGGGCCGGACGGCTAGCTGGAGAGTTTGGCTCGCACACTGGAGGGGCAGCCCGTTTAGCGATTTCAGTCCACGCCTCTCCAATGCAGTACGACATTTGCTGCGTTGGTATATAACCGGGGGGTCATAAGGGGCCAGGTCAGCTTATTTGGAATGAAATCTGCATCATATCTCTGCTTTGCTTGGGATGGAATGCTAACATTTTACTGAAAATACCAAGGGCTGTCTGGAAAGAAAAGGCCGATCAATCCACTGTACCGCCGAGGACGTCCAGATGGAGGGGGGCCACAACTGCCTGAATAATGAATGATCTTCCCCAACACCCATATCTCAACGCTCGTGCAGTAATTCTTATTTACAGAGTCAGCTAGAATTGGGGTAGTTAGATAACTACTCGGTGGTCTAGAAGTTAGACCGGAACCAGTTCAGTAGTGTCTAGCCGACAGACACGGATTGGATACATCCTCATGCTGGATCAGGCGGTGATCAAAACTCCATCCACACGTGGGTACTCCGTGTTATCGACTGTCATCCCATCCCTTGAGTCCACCACCAGATTCTGGTTGCATATGGCATGCATTCATTCCTACTGTCGTCACTCTTCGATCATATCTCCTGTCCCAGCATGCCGATCAGACTTTGTCCGACTGCTTTAAAATACAACAGATAATCACCTACACAGAAATCATACTATGTAGCATCCTTTTGAACAGGGGTGACAGGCACAGTTCGGCATTCGGTTCTTCCCGATTGCTCTGGACAGCAAAACACACACACACACAACACCGCCCCTTTTCTTTTCCCTTCCTTAGTGCGGGGAGGCAACCCCCCAAATCCAGTATAGTCGTAAAACCTTACGTGGTCGGGTAATAATAATACTGTTATTTCATGATCACTGGCAGCCCAGCAATCAGCTTACACCCCCCCCAAATTTACCATGTTCCCGTGCTCATCCGCCTGCTCGTGCCGGTCAGCCCCTGAGTTATTAGTCCAGTTACGGAGTACTATCGGAGCACTCCCTATCAGGAACAGCCAACCCAAGAAGTAGAAAGTAAGCATAGGCGCACAGTACCTGATGGGAAACATTCCTAGACCATTCTACCATAAGCTTCTGTAATACAGACTAGTTGACTTGAGTCCCAAATTTGCGCTCTATGTAGTCAGTACTCCTCCCTCTTGCCTTGCAGTGGGAATGTGGAACTGGACTGAATGCAGCAAAATGCAGTCGTAATAGAAACATCAGATGATCAGTACCCCCAGAGGTTGACTTGAAAACACACACACACACACACACACACAACAATCTATCCACAATCCTATACAGTAGTGTATACCCTGTCTTACTCCGTCCTGTATCCCGATCTCCACATATATCCACTCCCCTCTCTCTCGCTCTCCTCTGATCGTCAATTTCTGGGTCCCCCGTCTTCAACAGTCCTCAACGGTTATGCCATTCTACCCTGTAAGCAACCAATAAATCGTATAGACGAAAAGAAAAACACTACCACCCTCCCTACATCTCACCATCCTCATCATCCCAAATACGAAAAGGCAGCACGACACAAGGACTATCCGGACAGACAGTCGACCTGACAAGGTGTTTGAATTTAGGCCCGTTCGGGCCCGCACTGTATTTCGCTTGTCCAAAGAGCTCCGGTGCCCCCGGCAATGCGTCGTCTCCCCACTGCCCATTGTACTCTAGCCAGTTGACTGGATATCTGCGGTCGTAGGGCTGGAATGTCTGGCTGGCTGCGTCGAAGCTATATGCGTATGCATTTGCGATGGGATCCCATAGTGTGCCTTTGTCTGTGTAGTCCATAACAAATCCGAAGGGGAGGTTGAGATGCGGGATGGCGTGGTCATGGGTGCTATGCATTCCCAAATGTTATCATATGTTATTATAGTAATACACAATCTTTGGGGAAGGCCGATGTTACGATGTTCTAGAGGCAGGTCGTACATACCCAGGTACTGCGTATACAGCATGAGATCCATTAGCGGAGTATGCGATCGGCCTTTTGCCCTGCTTCTCAGTTGCATCGTAGGTAAAGGCTTCACCTCCGGCGTGCTGGCTGTACCAGAGTGCTTGCGGGACTCCGTTATCAAAGCGGATCATGTTGTGCTCCCTAAGGATATCAGTTGGGAACGTATGTAGAGAGAGTTAGAGGTGTTGCGCACCAGTCACCGACGTGGTCTCCAAACTGCATTCCCAATACTGTGTTTCCCATATTGTACCTTCATATGTTGAGTATGGGTTATAGCCAGCTTCCAGTGCTACTAATCACTTACGCATAGAAGTAGAAGTAGAAAGCATCCACTGTCCCATTTCCATGATCACGGGTGATGATTGTCGATGAGACAGCTCCTTTTGTCTTTCCATTCCTATCTGGCTTCACACCACGGAACCATGCTGGCTCTGGAGTAGCATCAATGCCCTCTATTGAGGTCAAGTAAACGCTGGTATTTCCCAATTTGTTGAGCCCCGCGAGGTTGTTGAGTGTTAACGGTGATGGTGCTCCTTTGATTGCAGTATAATTTACCATTGGTGTCGTATGTACCAGCTGCTGCCCGATATCTGAAGGCATGTATGTTTCCTTGCTATATAGCCAGACGAGCGGTGCTGGATGTTGATTAGAATAGTGGTGTAGATGAATATCCCAGTATATGCTTACCATATTCCATTACATAGCATGGTAAAGCGGTTGATGTCAGATCATAGGCTACTATTGTCTCGCCGGGCTTGGTCATTGACAGGCGGAACTGCAGCACAGTGGAGAAGAACTGCACTAGGAAGGTCCACATGTTGACTGGTCGATTATCATTGATATCTCTATCAATGGCCGGTGTTACCGGGTCTGGAGAGAGCTGTTGCCACTATTGAAGGCGCAAGTGCAGATAACACGCAGCAGGATAGTTCCCAAATTCCAGCCAACAGCGTATTAACGAGGTTATATTTGCAGAGGTGCATATCAGGTGTAGAAAGTATGAGACCTACCCCACGGTGTGGTACAGCCTGCAAGCCAACTTCTATCTGACCTTCTGACACTTCCATGTCGAGGGTCTTTGCTGGGCATTTTGTTCAACCCTCACTGGTAAGGCTAGTCCAGAGACTGTGGCAGGTGATGGGCCAGAAGAAGGCAAGTCATTGCTTTTTCCTCAGCCCCGTGTCAAATACCGGCTGCAGAGAGAGATGTGGCCGTCTCCTCGCCCACCCACGATCTTCATTGCAGGGGTAGTCCCAGGGTCCGGAGCATTCTGCAGCCAGATTGGTCGCGAATGAGTAGTTGCACGATAAGCATGATCTGAAGTGGCGCATCTGATGGGCTCTTATTTGAGACCAAGGATGAATGTGATCGTCCGGTCACACTCTGCTCCGCGGACGATGGCCGGATCCCGTGATGCTGCCTGTAACCAGTCAAGTATGCGCTCTTCATCCCATGCCGAATTCCTTGCTTCTCAACAGATACGGACATACAATTACCTCACTGAGTGGGATTATTCGGGTTTCTTGTGTGTATACTGGCTCATAATTCCTGCAAATGCTTTTCTAGCCTTATCAGTACCCTTATGTCGCTCAGGTCCAGAGAATGCTCGTGTGCTAACATGTTATTGGATATCATAAACAAACAAGCCTTCTTAGCATCCATGCCGGGTTCGAAAAGTCGAAGTCATTCGAAGCAATACTACTAATTACATAGAAGCCAACATCATACCGAAGTCGAGCACGGATCAACAGAGCACCGCAATCATAACTTCTCCCCTGCCGCTGCCTTCTCCGCTTCGAGCTCCTTTCTCTTCTGTGCCTCTTTCATCAGCTTGAATAACCGTAAATCGAGAGGTATTCTTTCACCCAGCCATGTAGCACGTTGGGTGTGGTTTCGCTCTTCCTCGGTCTCCACCGTATTCGGATGGATCAGTGCACTCAAGGGTCCCCTATTGACAACAAGCCAGGGCACAAAGGCGCCAAATTGCGCAGGAGTGAAAAGGTTGACTTCGAACATGGCCACAGGATGAGGCCCTATTGGCCTGTCGAAGAACTGATAAATCCGTAACTCGGGAACTACTCAAGGTAGTATTGTTACAACACGATATTCAACCTGATATCTAAGGGGATAAATGCTCACATTCACGCCTAATTCTCTCCCACAGAGCTTTTGCAAAAGCGACCTGATCAGGGTTGTTCTTTGACGATGCAAAGTCAGCCAAGAATCTACGATGGCCTAGTACACAAGTTTCCACCAACCTGGAAGTGATAAATATGAATGTCGAAGCCCCCACGACGACCTTTGGTGAGAGGGTCCGGGAACTCCTCGTAAGCTTTACTCAGAACACCATGTTGGGGGTTTCTGAGGGACTTCCCATCCTCGTTTCTCTCACTGTATTATGCCATGGGTTAGGCTCAATGCGTAAAATAACCTTTCATCCATTCGACTATCTGGTCCGGCAGACCACCTCACTTACTCAGGCAGCGGTTCTAGGTTTTCATACCCCTCTAGAGGCGAGGGATACGAATATGCAAACTGATCCGTCATTGAGCTCAAGCTTCGTCGGAGATACACAAGTGAGATGCGCCTGCTCCGCGTGTGCAACGTTGATTCAAAACAGTATTTCACTCAACTGCTGATTTAATCTGTCTTTGGTCTAAACTGCAACGTACAATCAATTGTTCCTTAATATCCTCGATGTTGTCCGATAGCAACTGAAGTGCAGTAATATCACTCAAGCGGGGTGATGGTAAGAAGATCAGCTGCTATCCGAGTCCGTATCCGATAATAATGAAATACTTATAGACCCCAAGTTCCGCCATCGGATAGCGGCTATAACATACACCAATCAACTCGATTAAAACCAGAAAGATCCCATACGCCTGTCTAATATCTTACCAATCAAGTCTTGAACTGTGGCACAAGAACACCGGGTTTTATCCACTCATTGTTACCAGCGATGAGGCCATTTCAGCTGATTATGCAACAGTATTGCGATATTCCGCACTCATGACAAAAGTGCGGAACTGGGTGAGGGGCTCGTCTTGGCGTTCAAGTGCCGTTGTTTTGTGCCTGAGAAAATAGGGTTTCATGGATAGGATATACTTTAAGTGACAGGGAAAGAAATAGGCACTCATTAAGTTTCTATTCATGGATTATAAAACTGTAAGTCGGGAGAGATTATTGTAGGCCGCATAGTAGTTGCTTCTTAGAGTGGTTGGTATGCGGCTTGAGAATCCTTCGGGAATTAAATATATTTTCCTAGCGTTCTGATAAAGGCCTGGACTTACTGATTAGACTAGAACCCCACAGTTAGTATTCAATCTATAGTGATTACTAGTAGTACTACTAGTACTCAGAGGTTGACTTTATCGATGCTCAAAGAACAGATACAAGCTACTAGCCCGTACCAGTGGATATCATTGCAAGAAAATTATCTATATAACGCCAGGCAGCTGTGAGTTGCAATATGATAGGTATCCAAGAACTTCCAAAATCTAAGGTCACCAGGAAGCTTTAACGTCAATATGCCCATCCTGATCAACAAACTTGCCCCGATCCCACTCTCGCCCCTCGCCCTTCTTCGACCACTTCACATCCTCTAGCCTGCCTTCCGAATCATCTCCTGGCGTGGAGGTGGTGTTGCTCTTCCACCGGTCCACAAATTCGTTACTGAACCCAGCTTCCCGCAACCTCTCCTCGCCCCTCTGCTTCCATTTTGCCCGATCACGCAAAGCTTCCAGAGAAAGTTCCCAGTCGTCATCTCCAGTCATTAAACCAGCGACGGGACGGCGGGTAGGCCTGCTACCCGCCTGCCCATCATCCTCCTCCAAATGTACATCCGTAGTGGGGTCGTAGTCAGGGGCAAAGTGTGCATCGATGTTGCTCATGTTGGGCTTGTAGGCACCGCGACCGCGGGAACGAATCGGCGCAGAATACCCATGATCATTGTCTTTCGCCGGTAGGGGTCCGACAAGGTCTTCAAGAGGATCCGACTCGTCATCCAAAGGCGTTTCTTCCTTGGATGGCCCATGAGTCGAGAATGGTTCTTTGCTTGTCGATGTATTCTTTTCTCTAGATTGTTCCTTCTCACGAGAACTGCGGTGACTCCTGCGCTCGCTATCTCTAGTCCTGCGCCTGTCAGATGCCCCTGGGGACCGCGAACGTGATCGCGACGATTCATAGCGGCTGCGATACCGTCGGCGACGACTGTGAGAATCAACATCCCGACCATCTTCCGGTGATCGACTCCTGGACCGAGAATAGGACCGATTGCGACGGCTCCTTCTAGAGGATCTATGCCGGCCGTCATTAGTATCTTGACCGTCACGCCTCCGTCGGCTCCTATGCGATTGATCTCTCTCCACCGATGCAGAGCGACTTCTATGTTTCCTTCGACTAGAGCCATATTTGTCCTCACGATCCCGTCTTCTATCGCGTCGCGATTCTCGATCGGTTGATGTACGCCGACTGCGACGTTGATCGCGGTCCGCATCGTTCGCAGAAGAGGATGACGCCTGGTTACGCAACTGTCGCATTCGCTCCCTGGCCTCCCGTTCTTCTTTCCGTTTCAATGCTGTATTGTGATTGTCCGTCTCTCGGATTATATGTCGGAGGAATCGTGTGTTTGGTTTAGGAGCGGCACCTGTAGGCCTGAAGCAATAATACGTCAGCTCATTGACCGTCGTGGTGTCTCCGGTAGAGAATGTTTTGGTACCTCTTGGGCATGTATGCTTCCAATCCATGTGCCGAGTATCTCAGAGAGCTGTCTCGTGCCTCTCGTGCGAGCACCTGTGCAACGTAGGCATCGTCGCTGGGATCGCCGATTGCTTTTCCGGTGTTGGGAGGCATGCTGTCGGACCGTGGCACTGAAGCAAAGGTGGAAGGGTAAAAGTAGGGAAGTAATGATATTTATATCATACTAATATAGGTAGCACATCCAAAAACTATCTCTTCAAACCCCGATAGTGAATATATAAAGAGAAAGGAAAGCGCCGTCTTGTCTTCAAATTTGGGAGGCAAGAGCCATACATGCGGCGATATTGACGCTGCTGACCGGTGACTTCACCGCCTGGTCGATAAAGTGGTGGGTCCGGCGAATCTGTTTACCTCCGCAATGTTTCTGCCGACGCGCGATAATGAATGGTTTTTGCCTTCACCCCTCATCCCACTGATTCGGAGACGCGGCAAAGCTACCCTTACAACTTCCATCGAAATTACCTATCTTGGGATACTGGGCCACTCTTCAGTTTTGGCAAGGACACAATGGCCGAGTTAACGCCTGCAGAAGCACGAAAGCAACTGCAGCAACTGGAAGACGACAATGGCGACTTAAAAACACAATTGAACATCCTCCGCATCAGCGAGCCGATATTCTCTCCTGACTCCGATACCAGACGCTCATCACCGTCTAAACGCAGGTCAGATGTATCTACTTTTGAAACCCCGACACCTGCTTCTCTGGAAGCGGACTTGACACACTATAAAGTACGAACCTGCTCTCCCGATGTGGGGTCGCTCTGCAACACCACCTATTCGTGCTGACAAAACATGTAAAGGAATTGTTCTCGAAGTTGCGATTTTCCTACGTTGAGCAAGTTACGAAGGAGAAATTCTTACGTGCGATCGTGGGCGATCCGCCCCTCGTGGTTGGTCACAATGAAAACGTTGAGATGGAAGCGCAGTTGGCGGAAGTAAAGGCGGACCTAAAAGCCCGCAAAGAGGAAGTTCGAACCATGGTGGAGGAAATGGAGAAGCTGGGTAGGGATCTGGCGAATCGTGAGTGCTCCCTCGTCCTTCGTGCAATAACGGCTTGTGTCCGTGACCGCGTCAAGGACTGTACTAACGATCGCAAATCCGTGGACAGGGTACAAGAATGTCCAGCTACAAATGAGCCAACTCTCAACACTTCCAGAGTCGATCGAAAATCTCGAATCCACTATTGCTGAGCTACGTGCAAAACAAGGATCGGACGCAAACGGTCCAGCTTCGCAAAATCTCCCTCTTCCTGCAACACTGAGTCTCCTATCTGAGCGGGAGGCGGAGCTTGCGGCTCTTGATCGACAACTTGCTGCCGTGCAGAATACTCTGCCCCGCAAGACACGAGAGGCCGAGGCGGTGGAGCGTGAACTAAGTGTTCTAGAACGGCGGAAGACAGAAGCGATTGCACAGGCCCAAGAAGTCAAGAGGAAGAAGGAAGAAGGCGAAAGTGACGGGCTGGTGGAAACGGGAAGATGGTACCGGAGTGCGCAAGAAACTCTCAAGAACCTACTCGACGTTGAAGGGTGAGGGCGACAGACGTGGGCATGATGTTATGATACTGGGTTTGGGGATACGGCGTTTGCGGTGGATAGGCCATACAGGATTACTTAGGTGTTAGGTGCTTAGGGATTTACTACAGCTAGTGAACCAATGGGTATGGGAATCGAGCCGTAGGCTACTAGTTCATTCATGGAATCGCATGATCGTACAACGTTATACGCTATGCTGCAGCCATAACGGAGCCCCGCAATTTTATTTTGGCTAACGAAACCCGTCCGTACTCCAATTTTTAATCCTTTACTCCTCATCCTCCTCAGCCTCGTCGTCACCACCACCGGCAGCAGCGGCAGCCTTCTTGCGCTGGACACGGCCAGGGCGGCCACCACCGTAGGGGGAGGTGAGGGCGAAGTCGATGTGCTTCTGGGAGTCCAGGCGGACCATGTAGGAGGGGACGTTGACGATCTGCTTGCCGACACTGTTCTTCGAGTTAGCATCTTGGCGTCATCGGGCGAAAAAGTTATCGAATGCGCATACCGGATGTGACGCTGCTTGATCAGGACACGGGCGTGGTGGATAGACTTGGCAAGGCCGAGCTTGTAGACGCAAGTCTGAAGACGACGCTCCAAGAAGTCCTCAACGCGGAGGGCCAGGACGTAATCGAGCTTCATGCGGGACTCATCGAGGACACCGATGCGGACCAGACGGCGAATCAAAGCGTTACCTTCGAAAAGACGCTTGGGGTCCTTCTCGTCGAGGGTGAGAAGCTCACTGTTCTAACAGTCAGCCATTGTTCCATCAATTTCTCCTGGCCATTCTCAAGGTCGATGATCCATGCGAAGTGGGGTGCGCATACCGAGCAGCACGACGAATCTTGGACAGGGTGAGCTGGACACGCCACACCTCACGCTTGTTGCGCAGGCCGTACTCGCCGACAATCTTCAGTTCCGAGTCACTAGCGATGACAGTTAGGCATGGGAACACACGACATAAACAGAAGCACGCTTCTGATCAGTGGCCGGAGAGTACTAACAGACGGGCCGACTCGAAAGCTATACCGATATGTTAGTCCAAGATTCAATGTCGCGAAGTCTCGAATTTTTGCAAAGACTGATAAGGCTACTTACGACGACGGGGGACCTTGTAGGTCTTGGAGTAAACGCGGCTGTTGAGAAAATTGCTATTAGAATGATGCGATACAGGTGTGGTTGATCGCCGGTCGTATACTCACGGGACGGGGGCCATGACTGCTGATTGCGGCTTGTCGCGAGGTTGTCGTACACACCAAACTTCACGAAAATCGCAGAAGATCTGAAGTTGAAGATGCGTTTTGGAGAAGGGAACTAAGCGAGCGAAGGTGGAGCCGGAAGCGGACTAGCGCAAGGGCTAGCCCTCGGCGGCGGAGAACGGCCGCACTAAGCACCCGAGAAGTCTACACCATCGCGACGGGCGGCATAGCGAGGCATTTCTTCGACGTCGACAAGTTCTCAACACCAGCACCACCAACACCGCCGACATGGGTCACTCGCACGGTTTGAGAGCCGGTACTCGGGTATGTCGATTTTACCCAGGAATTTTTGCAGCACCTTTTCGCTGGTCCGAGACGCGAGCGCTGACGAACTTTTCAGTATGCCTTCAGCCGTAACTTCAAGGAGAACGGCCAGATCCGCCTGTCGACCTACCTGAAGACCTACCGGTACGCCGAAAATTCTCGCCGATTTGGATAATATTTGCGTCAAGGAGCAGGATCTGATATTTTTTCATAGGGTTGGCGACATTGTCGATATCAAGGTCAACGGTGCCGTTCAGAAGGGGTCAGTACAAATTCCGCCCGGTGCAATAATGGGGATTCCGACATGAAGGGTTTTGCGTGTTGGGATTCTCGAAATTTTGAGCGAAGAATTGGTTTGCTGAGACATTTGGAAATAGTATGCCCTACAAGGTCTACAACGGTAAGACCGGTGTCGTCTACAACGTGACCAAGTCCTCCGTCGGTGTCCTCCTCTACAAGGTCGTCCGCAACCGCTACCTCGAGAAGCGCATCAACGTCCGCATCGAGCACGTCAAGCACTCCCGCTCCCGCGAGGACTTCATCAAGCGTGTCAAGGAGAACGCCCAGAAGAAGCGCCAGGCCAAGGAGCAGGGTGTCCACCTCCACTTGAAGCGTCAGCCCGCCATGCCCCGTGAGGCTCACCTCGTCGAGGGTACCGCTGCCGAGACCATCACCCCCATCCCCTACGACACCCACATCTAAACGAATCAAAAACGGTCGATGCGGTTGTTTGGTGTTTCTGGGTTTTTCAAACTTAGGGTGGGCCTTTGCAATGAGACGAAGCGAAACAGAGGGTTCCCAGATGTTCTATCACATCTAAATCCTGTGCATAGATTCCCCGGAATGAAAGAAAAAACAAAATTTCCATTTCCCTGTTCGAAAAATGATATCCATGCGTTTTGCCAAATACCGAAAAATCTGCGAATATGGCCCCTTCGACACAACACAATAGAATCCATGAACCCGGTCCTTGATATCTGCAATTGGATGCTTTAGGCCTATACAACACGGTATCTACGACCTGCACCAGCATGCCATGGACGACGAGTGACGTATGGAGTAGATTTGGCCCGGTTCCAGTCCCAGCCTTGGACATTAGACGTAGCCTGCCTATTCGAAAGCCACATCAAACCTGTAGACGTAGGGCTGACTTACGCTATCAGTCGTATCTCTGGAATCTGGATACGTAGTACCCATCTTTCCTCGATTCCCCGCAGTGGATATAGTATTTGAGTGCTATTATGAGCCTCCGCCCGGTAATATTTGTCCACCATCGCTCCTCACTTGCTGTATGTAGATTAGTTCTCTATCCCCAGTAATTTACTCTTATCAGGTTATCACTGACGTGCAGGCCAGGTTCAATCATGATCCTACCCTGTGCCTTGAACTTATCATAGTACTAGTGATACATAGTCGACCGCTACTAGCGTGACGAGTGAAATATATACGTCTACTAGTAACTTGGAGTTACGTACTTGTTAAGGTATATGAATTCCTTTACTTTCCTTGTCCCCCTAGCGGCTGTTCTATTCCATACGGAAAGGTTTCCTGGGTAAGGCTATTATTACACTACTAGATCATACTCCCGCTATCAGTGAAGTGCTTGAATCTCATTCAACTGAGCAAGCTCAGAATGAATGTCAGTTTCGTAAGGCAAACAGCTACAATAATTCGTGATTATAGGGTTCCAAGACCAATGTTCTCGGTAGTTCCCCAGAAATCGTTAGTCACAGCATACATAGGTAGTGTGGTCAATTATATCTGCATGATTGAGATGCTATGCTTTATCCTTAAGCTCTTGAATGCGACATGTGTCAATCGGCTCGCCATGAAACAGCACTATCGGATAATTCAGAGACCGTGAGCCCAATGCTAGCATTGTCAATTACTTCGACGGACAAGATGGAACTTAGAAGACTATCAACTCAGGGTTCGTTTGGGCAATCGTCTTGCTGTGCAGATGGGGTCAGGAAATGGGCCAGAGGCTGGTACTCCTTCTCAGAGTCATAGCGTACATGGACAACAGATTTGTTAGGAGTCAGAACCATCCGCTTTAGTGACCCGATTGAAAATCCGGACGAGCATATGTGGAAAGGCCCAAGTATCTTCAACAGGACGATCTGTGTGTACATGCTGGCTAATCAGTTTAAAGGACAAGGACTTAGTCAGTCTAGGTTGACTAATGTAACTATTCCGTGAAATCCCTATAGATGATTAGTAGGATAGGCCGCAGTTTGAGTAGTCCGCAGTAGCCTATGGTGCCTGCATTATTAGTGCCCCTTTAACCATGTCGATGCTACCATAGTCACCAGATCCGGTAGTGAAGTTATGCCAGGAAGACTTGACAGTTTGTACACATGAAACTTATTGCCAGCTTCCTTCTTGGAACTGTTTGTTTGAAAACAGCTACATTTTCCTTGCTGAGGCAGGAGGCTAGTACCCCGGGAATGCGGTCCGGTGCCGTTTCGGCAGGTCGATATACCACCTGTCAAGGGAGGGTCTCCGAAACAGTAGAGAGTTATTTCAGATATGGTGATTATGAACGGGGTCATAACACAGTTCCGTGAATAAGAAAGGACTTGCTGGAGAGACACCTAAAAATAAGTGAGCCCTCTTCCCCTTCTCCAGGGGGTGGACAAGTGAATCGGTCCAGGAGCAGCACAGTAGTTCGGTTCGCGAAGAATAGCAACTCCAGCGCGGCTCCAGCCACAGGGTTTGCGGGAGGCCAGCGCGCTAACCGAAAGCAGCCCGCCTTAGTGCCTCAACCTGAACCGTCAAGTCATCGTCCATGACTGCAGCCATCACCCGATCACCATCCCGAGAAGCACCACCTCCTTCGTCACGAACCTCCCTTTCGGGACACTCTCTGGGCAGCGGCCTTCTACCATAATACTGCCAGCCTTCTCACGCCCCGCCCATCCGCCTCGACATTCACTTGGTTACCAGCCTCCTACACTGGTCCCCTCTCCGCCGTCCACCTGGTCGTTCGGAGCTTTTACGGCTCAAGTAGTTGAGCTTACAGTTCAACCGTGGCGATTCTTGATACCTGACCATAGGTATATTCTCAGCCCGTCCCTTCTCATGCATTCATAAGTTCAGGATTACAGTCGCCACTTGTTTCCGTGTTTACAGTTTCAGAGCATTTGTCTAACAGATGTCGCAACCTGTTGGCCTCACAGACTCAAGAATTGTTATGGCAGAGCAGAGCAGCCACGATGTGGTAGACCAAACCCTGTCGGGCGGCGAACCTTCGCCTTCCGACGTTCCTGCGAGCACTACCGACAAGAGATCTGCTGGAGGGGACGCGGGGGAGTTCAAAGACACCGCTACAACGACACAACCGGAGACGAACGCGAGTGACCAACAGGGTGAACAAGGAACGGGAACTACCGAAAAGTCAGAGCGAGAAAACAAAACAAAAGATACCGATCAGACGCCGAGCGTGAGTGATGCCGACAACGACCTCGCAACATACCTACTGAACCCGACGCAGGATACCCCAAAGTCTGGTCCTTTGCCGGTCGCCGCACGGGCGCTCGAGATGAATGGAGTAACATCTGGGTCAGATACTGGGGAAGACACAGCGTCTCAGGGAGGTTCAGAGTCTGATGCCAGTCGAACAGAGGGCAGACTCCGTGCCGGCTCGAAGAAGCCAACCTCCTTCAAGCCGGTTACGTTTGCCAAGTTTTCTGTTCCCAAGGCGCCGGGAACTCCCCCGATAACAAAGGCTTCTGAGAAAGGTATTCTACATTCACGTGTAATACAGAGGGATAAATACTGATTCACTGCAGCCCCTATGACTTCGACTACCCCTCTGGGGACGCCGCCGCCAACCTCCCGTCCTCGCTTGGTCGTCAAGACTACCAGCAGCCTACGCGACTCGTTATCGAAAATGGGAACAGGTGCAGCCAAGCCTGGTGGAGCTGGTCCGGATCCGAATCAAGTTTGGAATAGGAATCGGCGTAAGAACTACGAGCCTTCCAGTTGACCGATATTTGCTTCTAACCATCTTGTCCTTGCAGCCGTCCAGCAAACGCCTCCCAAGCATTTGACCGACGAAGAGTTGAAACAACAGTACGGGATCCATATGACGTCAAGGATACAGGAAGATGGCGGGGGGAGCGAAGCGAAATGGGCTGATATAGACGATGATGAAGATGACTGGGCTCCTGAGACGATTGAGTGGACCGATGGCACGAAGACAAATCTCACCAACCAAGAGCCTGCGCCATCCGCCCCAGTACCCAGCCAAGACAAGGTGGCAGATGATTTCAAGAGGGAGTTCCCTCCCGTGGAGCAAGCAGCAAGCATCAAGGAAGCGCCAAAATTCATACCGAAACCTACGACGTCTATTGGACCAAACCCCACGGTGCTTCGACTTGGAGCAAATGCAGAAAGACAAGCAAAGAATGCCGGTCTTGCTGCAAAGGGACCGAATGACAAATCTCCTTTACTATCCACAAGTCCCGCCCCTCCGCCCGTCAAGTCGCCTTGGGCACCTCTGCCACCGGTTGAGAAGATCTCTCCAGTTATTCCTCCAATCCAGGTCCAACCGCCGATGCGGGCTCCTGCTCGAGAACCTCACCCGATTGACGGTCCCGGTGGTCCTTTGCCTCCAAAGGAAATTGCTGCGGACGATTTCAACAGATCTTACAGGGAGGTGCAGTCTGGGACCCGGGAGCTCTATAATTCTCGATCCGGCCGCTATGAACCTGCTCCTGACACGAGGAAAGGACCTTGGCGCGCTGAGCAGAGTTACCGTACCCCTGCCTTGTTGCAGAGGCCTGCCCAAGGTGAACAAAGTGGACCAGCGGAGCCCTCACCCGCTTTTCAGACACACCGATCGAGCGGTCAAGATGGTATGCACTGGACACGGCGTCGGACATCGTCTAATGTGAGCGGGGGAAGTGGCAGCTTTGGACGTCGGATGTCGATTGGTAGACCCGATGTGCCCCAAAAAGTGTTCGAATCTAGGAGAGGATCACAGGTAAACGGAATGATTGAAGCGGCCATCCCATCCAGAGATATGCCACCTCCCAAGGAAGCTTCTCTACGCGATATTTCGCCTTCCCGACGTGGTCCTGGTCCGTGGCCTTCAAGAGGTGCTGCAAATGTGCAAGACAGGATGACCAATGTGCCGGGCGGAACAGCACAGTTACCCACTGCTCCACCAGTTGAAGAACAGGCACCAGTGCCCCAACCGCCTCAGGAAGACCCTGTCGCTATGCAAGAACGCATCATGAAGGAAAAGAGGATGGAAGCTCGGCAGCGGAGAATAGAGCAGGAGGAACGGGAAGAGGCTGCGAAGCGTGAACGGATCCGGCAGAAGCTCGAGGCGCTTGGTCCTCCGCCCGAAAAGCCAAAGTCAAGGCGTAAGGAGTCTCTGGATGCCGGTAAGCCCGAGGCAAATATCACGCAGGCTACCGCGCAAGCTGCCCATTCTCCTCCAAAGCCTCCAGTACCTGAACCGAGCGGGGAGCCGAAGCAATATGGAATGATGAAGGTCCACCATCCGGACACTGTGAAGAAGCTTGTGGATAGGGAAAGGGGCAATGCGGATAAAGCACCATCGGTGGCCACTGCGCGACGCACCTCTTCGCCAGCGCGTGAGCCCAAGCAAGAGACTAGCCTGCCGAACGGATCTCAGCAACCTGTCGTTGCTCAAACAGCAAGCTCAGAAAACTTGCCGGAGACCAAGGTTGATGAACAAAGTTCCCAGTGGAGAGGCAATCTTACTACACCCAACACCTATCTGCCTTGGTCCCCGAATCCAAAATTTGTGGGACCGACACCTCCTGCCATCTCAAATCCTTGGAAGCCTCTTAGCAATGACAAGACGCTGGGCAACGGTATCTTCGAGCAAAGCCTTGGAGGCTTCCCAGGGAGAGATATCTCCATACGCAGTCATCTAGGTCTTGATCAGCCACCCATGGCCCCGGCGACTCAACCCTTCTCCGCTCCCTCGCGATCTCCACAGGATGGCGTATCCATCTCTCCGTTACCGTCCCCGGAAGCTAGGCATGTCTCTTACGACAATATAAACCCTATGCTGCGTCCCGGGCCTATTGGACCTCCAAGCTCGCAGCACTCACACCGGCAACAACAAACAGTGGCCTGGAACAATTTCCATGCAGTCGCTGCCAAACATGAGGCAGAGGAGAACGAGAGGCTTCGTAACGAGTACGATTCGATGCGTGACGGCCCATCTTCTTCACTCCCTGTTACCTTCAACGAAACCTGGAAGCAGGTCCGGACCGGTGACCAGGCTGGGCAGAGACAAGTTGTTGGAATCACCAAATCAGCAGACAACACCGCACCTCTGCCAAATCCTCTTCCTGGATTTGACCCCACCGTCAGCTCTTTGCCTTTCACTGAGACTCCTGCTCGTCCTCTCGGCAGCGTTCCGGTGCGAAGCTCACGATTCTTCCCTCAAGCAACGGAGCATCTGAGGAAGCCAGCGAATGATGAAGGTGATTATTTCCGGAGTACTTCGCCGCCTCCCCCTGAAGAAATGTCAAACCACCCAGTTTATACTGGTGCCTCGAACAGGCCTCTGGTCCATCTCCCTGCGCCGAAACCCATTGTCAAGCTTCCTCCTAAAGTCATCGCTCCGCCTCCACCGCCCCCCACCTTTGCCTCGATGGTTGCTGCCCCTCCGCGCCCACAGCACGGCACAACGGCCACTTCCTGGCAGGAGAAAATAAATACTCTCTTTGGCAAGAAGACGATACCCGAAAAGAGAAATGCGCTGGCGGTCACATCAGCGACCAAAGAGCCTCTTGATGTTCAGTTGCATATTGCTTCAGTCTCAGTCTCCCTTCCTTGCAACGGCGAGCTTCATGTCGGAGACGGTGAAGTAAGTGCGAAGCAAGTTGAAGAAGCTGAGGAGATCTTTGAGGACCGTGAAGTAGGGTCTCTACCAGTCGTCAGGGTCCCAACCAGAGCGCCTCCAGCAGCGTGGCAGGCTGCGCGAGCACCTTCGCAGTCCCGGTTGCGGTCCAAGCATTTGAAGTCGATGCAGATTCTCAGTGTTGAGCCTTTCTTCGTTGGATATAACGATAGGGATTCCGCAGGAAACACAAGGGTTTCGATCCGCTTCCCCGGTGCGGCTCTAGCAAAGACCATGACTCTCCCTCGAAAGGCAGGGGCAAACAATCCCCGCCCACGCGGCCCTTCGGGTTATAGTAAGCCTCGAAAGACTACAAAACCGCGCGAGGGCACCGCCTCACAAGCAAAGAAGCCTGCCACGTCTCAGCAAAGTAACGGCAGCAACTCTCCGCGACGTCAGTCCCGGACTGCATCCTGGGGACCCCGTACTTTCAGCGGATCCCAGTGAAGTCATTCGTTCTTTTCCATGCGGAGTGAAGTCTCATGATTCGAGTTTCAGCTGTTAGCCTTGTGTTGGCTTTTGCCGGGTTTCAGAAATTCATTGAGCGTTACATTTCGGTAATGATTAGCTACGCTTGCGAGGGAATCCGATGGATTTGGGTTTGGTTTGAAATTTTTCAGTATTCCTTTAATGTTTCTCCTTGCTACCGTGCCATATTCCCTGCGCGCGCAATTGTCAACGCCTCCCCCTCTTCACAAAGTAACATACGCCATTAGTTGAGCGGGACGGTTGCTACCTTTCCATACAAACTCTCATCATACACGCTACCACCATGTTCAATGCTTCTTTATCTCTGTCTTCTCCGGGGGTCTAAACCAACCCATGTCACGTCTTTCCGAATCCCCCTACAATATTCCATCTGCTCGTACCCGTTATCCTTACCTCCTTTCTCGAATCTTGACCTCCCAGATCCCGTCTGTGCGGTGCTGTATCATGACCAATGCAGTTCACTCACAAACTCCCTTTCTCTCCTCCTACTCTCAATTTACGCTCCCCCTTTCTCTATCTCCCTGTCGCTTTCACCTGCTCCGTCGATCATACATCGTCGTTGAGCCATTGGATCCCCTTCTTTCTTTTTTTTTCTATAGCTTGTGGAACCGGAGCCAAGATTCTGGGAAAGGGTAAATGGTGCGGGAGCTTTGTGTTAACGTGCAGAACCGTGTATCTAGCTTTTGTGCTGAGGTGTGCATTCGAATACTTTAACGTTATATGTTGTTTCATATCAGGCGTAGTTGTAGCTGCGACTGAATTCGCAGTAGACTGTCAGCTAGAGTTGTATGAAGATCTTGATGGAAGGGAATGAGCTGCGAAACTTGCGGAAAGCATCATTGCATGGTTATTCGCAATATTTTGCTGGCACTTTTACAGCATTACGCCACATTGAATAATAAATGTACACAAGGCATACTCTTCAAGATAGTAATTTAGTAGTAGTAACTGACTGATAAGGATGAATTCCACAACACCGACCCTGCTAGCGCTAAATATATCCATCCATCCCATGCTAATCCACGAAACTCCCCTCGAAGGTACCAGTAGTAATCTAATTTACAAAACATCCATACACCCATGAAAAAATAAAAAGGAAAAACAAGACCTCCGTAACCAGCAACAAGCATACATAGAAACATACATTACACCACCGACTCCAAATGAGGGTATCAATCAATCTTCCCGGCTTCCCGGCTCCCGTCCCATACTTTGCTGCATAGAATATAACCGCATCAGTTAAGCAACCCTACCAATTCCAGGTACGGGACGACGCAGTGAAGACGGGCGGTTTCCATTGCAGCCGGGCGGGATCGATCTTGCGAACGCCCTTGATCTTCTCCTTCTCGAGACGCTTCTTGTGCTCTTCGACTACTTGGTCTGTTAGGACTATGACCCAGTTTCCTTTCTATATAGCAATGATTGGTTAGTAGGTGTTGTGTCGGAAAATTTGATAGTGGGAGGGAACGTACATGGTATCTGAGCATATTGAAAACAACCAAAGTCTCGTGGACGTCTTTCTCCGTCATGGAAGTCAGCATTGAGAGGTCGTGCTCGCTGACGGATTCCCGGCCAGTTTCCAAGAGAAGCTCCACGAGGGTTTCTCGCCAGTATTGTCGATAACTGAGGAGACCGAGATCACTGAGAGGCTTCTCGGGCGATCCGAGCTTTCCCTCACGCTTGCCGAGCTCGTAGCTGAAGGAGATGAGAAGACGGCCGTACCCGCGGCGTTGGTATTGAGGGAGGGTTAAGATACAGGCCAGGTTGTAGCCTTCCGCAGAGTCCTTTTCCTTGGAGAAGTAGCCGACGAGATGACAGCCTGTTTCGTCTCGACTGCACATGCAGTAGAACAGGAAGGGGTCGACGTCGTAGTACAGTGTCTTGTGATCGAGGAAGAGCTTGCTCAGCAGACAGAGGTTGCGACACCAGGTTCGTTGACGCCGGCCGTCGACTTCGAAGAATGAAATGTAGTCGTCGCGGTAGATTTCGTTTCCGGGTGGGTGCACGAGGGTGCATTTGGAACGGTGACGCTCGAAGGCGCGCTTGTTGTCGAAGTATCCCAGGCAGAACTCGTCAATGTATACGACGTCTGCATCGGAGAACGATGCCGGGTATGGAGAGAAGTACCAAGGCTCGATATCGTATTTGCCCATTTGGAGACGGGTCAAGTTTCGCACACGGTGAATCTCCGTCGGGTTCTGGGTCATACTACCGCTAGTGCGTAGCCTTTCGATTTCTTCTTCGCGCGACATAAGACCTAGTGCCTTCGCTTCTTCTTTTTCATCCTTGGAAAAGCCAACATCGATCATGTCGACATCATCCGAGTCAGGCTTGGGGGTTCCATTTGCGGAGACAGCTTCTGAGCCTCCGATGGAGAGGTTCACAGGGGTCTCGTCGCGGTTCTCTTTGCCGCCCGCTTTGGACGGACGCTGGGCTTTGCCGACATTGGTGTTCTTTCCCGTCAGAAGATCTGGCGTTGCTGATACATCCCGACTTTCGGCTCTGGCACGCTTCTGGGCGTTCTTGCTAGGTGCTTTGTTGCCGGGGCCGGTCTTTTTCTTCTCTGGTTTCTCTGGCTGAGGCCATTCGACCTCATGTGAGAGATCTATCCTTCCGGAATCAATCCATTCTAGGTGCGAAGTGAGTATGAGCGGTATGATAGTTCAATCACTAAAGCTCAACTTACCATCAAGACGCTTGTTGAAGTCAACATAGTGGACGCTGGCATTGTCAGTACAATATCACAACACTCCAGAGGGACAGGAAACATACTAGAAAGAAGGCCCATCTTTCCGCTGCTTTATCGAGAGGATTTCTGCTTTTCGTAGTTCTCCATCCTACACAGAAGACCAGTCAGTAATCATTCCGATATTGGCAACCGATCCTGTATAAAGATGGTATCATGTGACTTCCACGGCCGCACCGCAAAAGATCACGACGAACAAACTGACCTTCTGCACCATGGCCTTGACACCGATCCTATCGCCTTGATTAGTTGATGCGACCGAGAAAAGCAGGACCCCTAGGCCCAATAATCAATTCAAAGGAATATTTCATCGACTTACCGGATGGTATTGAGGGTGGCAAACCCCTTCTCGACGGGATCCGGGGTCCCGGTGGCCTCGTCCCTGCCGCCCATGTTGAAGAAGGGGTGGTTCTCAATGTATCTATAGAGGTTTTTTAGATGAAATCGCTATGTGGAGCGAATTGCGCGATGGAAACGCGAAAGGGGATCGTAGGAGGTGATGGAGGATTCTCCGTTGCGATGCACCGGAAGAGACCGCCTTAGATTTTTGCCATCCGCTTTTGGTCATCCATCCATCCCCAGCTGCGCCGGTTACTTCATGGATCCGTCGGGTTGGTGCTGCAGCAGTTGCAATCGTCCATATCGCCCTACTCACCATGACATTGCTTGCAGGCTGAAAGAGTGTATTATACTCATCAGGAAGTTAGTATCGTGGTGGTCAATATAGAGTATGGATTGCGTTAGGTTGGTTCATGCCTTCGTAGTACACTACAGCATCAGTATATTTACCCGCTGAATAGTACAATGTGGGAGCACACAACAATGAACCAACAGAACACGTCGGTAGTCTCTAGTATATAGGAAAGTTAAGATTACAACTTGAGCTGCTGAAATGCAGATTCAAATTCAAACTAGGTATCTATTTTGTGAGTCACTCAATGCCACCCATTAACCATCCCCCCTGTTCCTGCCACGAGCTCATCAAGCTCGTCCTTCCGGGTTCTATACAAGTCTTGAGCTTCCCGCTCTCTGCGCATCACGAATGCCACATCATCTCTCAGATTCTCAAGTCTCCGCGAGAGAGCGGACTGTTCCGAAATCTGTAGAGTGCGGAAGGCATCCAGCTCATCCGCCGTCTTCTCTAGGGCTGTGTGGGCTTCCACTATCTTGGTCCGGAGCATTTTCGCCCGGTTCTGATAGCCTCCGTAATGTAAAGCGAGCTTCTTCTCCAGCTTGTTGCCCCGTTCTGCCGTGGCCAGCAGAGAGTTTTGCACATTGTCAAACGCTGCAATCATCCGCTGTTCTTGTTGGTATACATCCTCCTCTTCATCATCAGCATAGTTAGAAAGTCCTGGTAGCGCGCTGGAATGCTTCGTAGTCCATTGCTCGTCGAAGTTTACCTGCCACTCCTGCTGCTTTTCGGATGTGGCGGCTTCCGCTGCAATAGCCGCACGGGCTTGCTCCATGAGGTTGTCATCTAATTGCTCCAGCTTGCGAGCTTTGCCCTCCACCTTAGCACCGGGGGTAGGAAATTTGCGGGCGTCGTGTGCAATGAGAAGCGCAGCTTCTTTTGCGACAAGACTGGAGATGGGATCAGTGATGTGAGATACCCGTTCCATCATCGCATCGATATCAAGCACGCTCGGACGAGGTAAGGATCGCTGATACACCTGTGACTGACGCTTGAACTCGGCCGCTGCGGCGCGCTGTCGGGCCTCAGTTTCCCTTCTATCGCGCTCAGCGGAGTCCTCTTCCACGTACTCAGCAGCTGCCGTTGGTTCCGTGGATTCAGAAGGAAGCTCTTCCAGCTCCCATTCCGTTTCTTTAGGCTTTGGCAGAGCCGCCAGCTTGCTGCGGATGCTTTGACGCATGAAGTTCTCGTGCATCTTGATATCTCGGGGGGTGCTTCCAATCAGCTGCCCACCTTCTGCCTGGTTCAGAGCAAAGTGATCCCGAGGGGTCCGCAAAGGAGTGGCACCAGGCCCAACACCACCTCTCATAGGGGTTGCACCGACGCCATTGGCTTGCCTGAACGGTGTCGCCATCGGGTTAGGCGTAACAATCTGCTGACGGCGCGGAGCAATTCCATCAAATCCAGTAGAAGACCCTCCCTCATGTAGGGGAGTGTTCTCGCCTCCCAATAACGACGATTGGGTCTCAGTCAGAGCTCTGATGTTGCGAATCTCGTTTGCGATGTGATCTTCCTCTGGCGGGGCGCGGGGTGTTCTGATGGGAGTTCCACCGACAATGCCAGTGTAGTTTCCGACCAGGCCACGAGCCCCTTCTTCGTCTCCTGCCATTTTACTGGCTCTGTCACCTGCCATACCCATCTTGATGATGTCCTCCATTTCACCTTCGCTAACCTGAGGAGCCGGGAGCACAAGAGATCTCCGCTTGCTGCTTTGCTCCGCCTCTCGGATCTTCTGCATCTGGCCGGCCCGAGCAGCAGCAGCAAACGCCGCGGAGTTGCTGTTCTTGTCGTTTTTCCTCTTTTTCCGCTCCGCCTCGTCATCCTGATCTCCCTTTCGCTTGTTGGCGAGCTGCTGTTTGCGAGGATCGAACATCTCCCGTTGCCTCTCATTGCGGGATTCTTCCTCCATCGTATCATAGAAACCGGGCGCTGCTGGCTTTTCGAATGGGATATCGGCGTTATAATCCATTTCACCCTGCTTGCGAGTAACGACCTTGATGTTAATGCCGGCATTCTTGAGTTCACGTCGTTTCTGAAGGACTGCAAGTCGTCGCGATTCTTCCAATTGTCGTTCTCTGGCCTTCCGCTTCGCCTTCTTTCCTTGTGTGTTCGCCAAACGAGCGCGAGCTTCACTCAGCATCTCCTTCTCATCTTCATCGAGGTCAATGGTATCAGGACGAGCGGGCTTAGATTCCGGATCGGGGTCCAATTCGCCGGGCCTAGGTAGTGTCAGCAAATGGAAAAAGAAGCTAGCAAAGCGTGTCATGTCCGGAGTCGTACCGTAGCCGTCGCACATCGTCAGCACTGGGAGCAGCTGACTCTGCGCCAGGACCTTCCAAAGCAAGCTCATCATTCTCACGCGCTTCCGCTTCATCCAGCAACTTCTGATAGCGTTCCAAGCATTGTGTTGCCGTCCGTCCCACGATAGGTGCGATTGTACGCCACTGTGTCGGCATCAACTTGGCCAGATGCAACAGCTTCTCATCTTCCTCCCTCGACCACTCAACCTTGCGAATACCGGGATCCAGCCATTCCACCCATCGCGCCTTGCACTGCTTTGGTGTCTTTCTTGCTAACAACGAGGAAACACGCGCCCACTGGTTGAGACCATACTTCGAGACCTATTATATGCAGCATTAGTATCGCCAATCGCAGACCAGTCAGCTTTCGGACAAGGGTTAGCTGTAACATACCGCCGCGCGAAGCACCTCATCCTCGATGTTCGTCCTAACCACAGTTAGTGAAATGCAGCAATGAAGCATGCATAACAACTATGCACTTACCAGACACCTCCTTTGACGACAGGCATGGCTGGGCAATTCTGCAGCCGCTGACAGCGACAAATTGATCAAAAACAAAAGGTAATATAATACAGCGACAAAGCGCAATAGATACGAAATATAATAACGCTTTGGACTGCTTGGTCCAGGCTGACCAGAGTCGATAAGGAACCGACGCGGGTGAAAAGCAAGGTCAAGTCCTGAAGCGGCGTTCGTCACTGGCCCGCGATAGGCGCGCAGAGCCTTAGCGCGACAACCGCACTAGCGTCGCCCCGCGCAATCTTAGGTAAGCGGGTCCAGAATTTTGGTTGGAATATTCAAAAATTAGTACTCCGAAAAAAAGATCAAATATTTACAAGAGCACTGCACACCGATTAAAATCCGGTGGAGCCTCCGAGATGTCTGAGGCTATCAGTGCACCGAAGCAATACAAGCAGCCTTCTCGCAAAGGCAAGAAGGCCTGGCGCAAGAATGTCGATATCGATGAGGTTCAGGAAGGCCTTCGGGTTCTGAAGGAAGAAGAGATCAAAGGGTAAGTAAAGATCGATGTTACTCCACCGCCAATGTCGGCACAACAAGCTAATTTTGGTCGCTTTCTGCTAGTGGTCTTCTATCAGAGAAGCCATCCGATGAGCTGTTCGTCATCGACACCAAAGGTTCATCAGAGATCCGTGATGCGTACCGGAAGAAGCACAAGCCTTTGAAGTCGGAAGAGATCTTGGCGCAACGCTCCGCTATCCCAGGCCTCGACACACGCAAGCGCACCAACTCCAAGGTCACCGACGGTGTTATTGAACCGAAGAACAAGCGTCAAAAGAGCGACTGGGTTACGAGGAAAGACTGGCTGCGCTTGAAGCAGGTGGCTAAGGAAGGCAACCCCGTCAACAAGCCCGCTGAAAATGACCTTTACGATCCATGGGGAGATGCAGAGGAACCCACCCCCTTGGATGACCCTCAGTTCGACTTCTTGGAGAAACCGAAGCCGAAGGTAGAACCGGTAACCTTGAAGCAGGCTCCGATCTCGCTCGCCGCGAATGGCAAGCCGGTTCCCGCGGTACGCAAGCCTACTGCCGGAATAAGTTACAACCCCACGTTTGAGGACTGGGACCGGCTGCTGCAGGAGCAGGGGGAGAAAGCAGTCGAAGCCGAAAAGAAGCGCCTAGAAGAAGAGCGTAAAGAGGAGGAAAGACAGCGCTTAATCGCCGAAGCCCAAGACGATGATGGTATGGTGAAGTCGGATGATGAGAGCGCATGGGATGGATTTGAAAGTGAATATGAGAAGCCAGACTGGCTAAATAAGAAGCGTCCGGAGCGGAAAACAAAGGCTCAGAGGAACAAGATAAAGAGACGCAAGGAAGCAGAGAGGCAGGCCAAATGGGAAGAACAGATGAAGAGGAAGGAAGAGCAGGCCGCATATGCTAAGGAGGCCGCCGAACGTGTGGAAGCACAGGCGCTTGCTCGTGCCGACGATTCTGAGGACAGCTCTTCCGAGGAAGGTGACGATACCGTTTTGCGTCGGAAACCGCTTGGTGGAAAGCTATAGTAAGTGATCTGCTCGTCTGTTTATGCTCTGAACCCTACTAATCCAATCAATAGCGCTCCTGAGAAGCCTCTGGAGGTTGTGTTGCCGGACGAGTTGCAGGATTCTCTGCGTCTGCTCAAGCCCGAGGGCAACCTGCTTGACGACCGATTCCGCACTTTGGTGGTTCAGGGAAAGCTGGAGTCTCGCAAGCCGGTGACGCAGGCAAAGAAGCCGAAGAGAAAGGTGACAGAGAAGTGGTCTCACAAGGACTTCAAGATTCCGGGTCTGTAAATATTTACTCTTTTGGCGTTTGCTTGTGTCGGTTCTTTCAAGATAGATTCCACGTAATATGGGCTAGTGCTGGACATAAAAAAGTTTGTATGAGCCTCAACTAAATCCATGAACTTCACGACTATAGCCAGGTCTCAGTGCTTCTCGTAGTTCTACCCACCAAGACCATATATAAACTCCGTAAATAGTCTGTAGAATACACTGCGCATGTCGGACAGCAATATCTACTTCGCAGCGTTCGAGACTTGCAGGTGGGCCCTTCCGAAATTTTAGCGCGGACCGTTAAGGTTGCTTTTGGAAAGTTGCCGGGCCAGTCTCCGCAACGCCCATCTTTTTTCTCCGGCCCCTCGTGGATTCTCAGATCCCTTCACCATGCAATAGTCTGAGGCCTATCACTGGAATGGACTTGAAAAACCTCTCCAGCAATTGGAAGAAACTCCAGGGGACGCTGAAAAAGGAAAGCGTCTCCGCCACGAAACGGAAACCTTCAGACCGCGAGACGGAGAATGGTGTGGTAAAGAAACGGAGAAGAGAAACTGTCGACGGACAACAAAAACCTGAGCGCAAACCGGTCTCAACCAAGAGAAAGAAGATGTCTACGAACGGTACTGATGGCGGCGAGAATGGCACCGAGGAGCCTACAAAAAAGTCGACCTCTCGGAGGAATTCTACGGCCGCTGTTGCGGAATCAAAGCCGAAGATTAATGAAGGCCGTTCACCTACGTGAGCACACCTCTTGTTGCTGTTTTGCGAGAGTTCTTTCTCTGTAATAACTACTAACGTTCTATTAGCGCGGAGCTAGGAAAATATGTTGCGATGGATTGCGAAATGGTGGGCGTTGGCCCCAACCCAGATCACGACTCCGCTCTCGCGCGAGTCAGTATTGTCAACTTCAACGGCGAACAAATATACGACTCTTACGTGAGACCCAAGGAAATGGTTACAGACTGGCGGACGCATGTCAGCGGCATCCTTCCGAAGCATATGGTGGAGGCACGAACATTCGAGCAGGTGCAGAAAGACGTTATCAATATCCTCGATGGGCGAATACTCGTGGGACATGCGGTCAGCAACGACTTGGACGCTCTTCTTCTCAGCCACCCTAAGCGCGACATCAGAGACACCAGCAAACATCCCCCGTACAGAAAGATTGCTGGCGGCGGCTCCCCTAGGCTGAAGATGTTGGCTTCGGAGTTTCTTGGGCTAGAAATCCAGGATGGCGCTCATTCTAGTGTGGAGGATGCTAGAGCTACAATGCTTCTGTACCGGCGGGACAAGGACACATTCGAGCGGGAACATCTCAAGAAGTGGCCTGTGCGAGTAGTGGTTGAAAAGAAAGACCAAGACGATGATCAAAAGAAAAAGAAAAAGAAGAAGAAGAAGACCCGTAAGAGGTGATGCGGTTTCCCGGATGCAATGGCTGGTTCTGTTCGATATACCCCAAGTTCATGAAGTTGAAGGTTATCTATAGAAGATATAAGTAAATAGAATTTAGACAAGCATTATACTCAACTACAGAAGCTGTAGAATTGTACCTCGTAAGTCTTTTCTATCAACTAAGGACATGCCGCAATCAATGCTCCCCGCCGGTTGGTACTAAAGCGGACCGCGGAATGAACCGCTCTTTTCGCGACTACGCGTCGCGTTGCCTTAACCAATCCTTGCCGACATCATACTGAACATCTACATCACGATTGTCTGTTCGAGTGGATGACCTACACGGGTTTCGGACTCTTACAATTTTCAGACTGTATCATACTCAATTCCGCTTGACACACTTCAAGATGTTCGCCATCCAACCAGCCCAGAACTCGTCCAACGAGACACCAACCGATAAATTCACTCCGAACATCCTGCCCTGTCGCATTCACCACGATGGCCCCGTTGAAACTCTAGGCCGCTACTGGAATCCCACCTCTGATGAGAAAGGTATACACTGACTGCTTCGCACCCGGCAATTCACAACCCACGCTCATTTTTCACAGATCAGAACCTGCAAACAGCCTACTTCCGCGGCCGCAAGCTAAGGGGCCGCCGAGTCGCGATTCCCGAAGGCTACGAGGGTGAGACTTGCCCCGCCACATCAATCCTTGAATAGTTCGCTAACAAATCGATTTAGGTGTCATCGCAACCCCCACAGACCGTACGATGCCTACTACCCGTACAAGCGCCGACGTCGAGGTCGAGGAAATCACACCAGAAGAACCTGTGAAGGTCCTTGAGAAGCAAGGCACATTTGATGAATATGTTGTCTGGGGACATGAGTTTGTGCCTGCGGCAGATGAGACCTTCGTTAAGGGAGTGGAGGAGTGGATCAAGCTTGCTGAAGTGGTAGGTCGATCATTTTCCTTAGGTCGTCATCAGGCTAATGCAATGTAGATGCATACGACTCCTGACAGTAAAAAGCAGCCGTCTACTTGAGGCAAGGCCTACAGTGAACAATATCATTTCAGTACGAGGACTGCAAACTCTGCGTGCCCATAGGACTGCGTTCTCTCGTCACTGGATAGGTTCCCTAATCGACCTGGTCAGCACACGCGCAAAGTCCCCTACTCGATGCGTTCCTCGCTGCATATACGAAGATACACCACCAGCCTACTGCAACCAGCCATGTACGGACAAGGGCTATGCTAGAGCCGTGACACTAGCGGCAGGCCATAGGTGGAAGGGGACGTCCAAGCTCCGAGGGGTCGCTTTATGCAAACTGCGATCAGCTGGGGGAGGCTACCAGATTCAAGGACCAGCATTGGGGCATCAGGCCAACTGTGCATGACTAGATATACCCAGCGGGGGAAGTTTCATAACACCAACTATCTAGATAGCTGTCCATAGAGCCAAGCCAATACCACGATCCGATAGAATATCTATATAGATAAGCCTGACCGCCCTCATTATTCTGCCGCCAGAACAAATATCCTGGGATAGAATCAACTCTCTTCAACAATTCTATAGACACCCCTCATCTTCAAACAGACCTCTAACAATGTCCACCAACGATGCGAAGGCCTCACCGGAGGCACTCATCTCGAAATTCGAGGTGAGCAGACTCCTCAAACAAGGCAAGCAACCCAACCATCCAGCCAACCAGCCCCTCTATCACCCCTCCCTGCACATCCAGACAAGACCGCTCCAGCAACACAACAACACTAACTCAACCCCACAGACCAAAGCGGCCGCCGCATCGCCATTCTGGGCACCATCGACGGCCAACAAGGCATTTTAATTGCCGAACGCGCCGCCTTTGCGACCGAAACCCCCGAAGCCCTACAAGCCTTCCACGCCGCCATCACCGATGTCAACAACCTCGGCGACAACGACATCTACCGATGGTACCTAGCCTCTTCGCACTCAGCACCAGGAAGCCAACAACCCCCGGACCTCAAGATAAACCTCATCTGGCCCTGCACTGAGTCGCACATCAAGAAGTACTCCGAGCAAGTTGTTCGCATGGTCACCGAGACACCGGAGATATACCGCGACTCTATTCGTCCGTACATGAGCGCGAAGCGCGAGGAAGGACGACTGAATTGGGTATTTAATATTCTTGAGGGTCGGACGGAGCAAGAGGACGTGATTCTTCGGGACAAGGGACATGATGGGAATGAAGAGGGAGGATTCTTGGTGTTGCCGGATTTGAACTGGGATCGGAAGACGATGGGATCGTTGCATTTGCTAGCGCTGGTTATGAGGAGGGATATTTGGTCCTTGAGGGATCTAAAGAAGAAACATATCCCTTGGTTGAAGTATCTGAAGGAGAGGCTGTTGGAGGAGACGGTTAGGGTGTATCCCCAGTTGGAGACGGATCAGTTGAAACTTTATGTGCACTGTAAGACTCCCTTTCTGGCGCTATGGGTTTGGGGGTATTTGGTTACTGATTTGAATGTGTCGTATAGATCAACCGACGTATTATCATTTCCATGTGCACATTGTGAACGTCATGCTCGAGGCGGGTGCAACTCAGGCGACTGGAAAGGCGTTCGGGTTGGAGAACATCATCTCGCAGTTGGAGACACTGGATGGAGACGAAGAGGCTGGAATGGCGGATGTCAGCTTGACTTATTTCCTGGGTGAGGCCAGTGAACTCTGGTCGAATGTGTTTGGGCCACTGAAGCGGGGAGAGAAGCCGCTGCCGAACTGATAGAGGCTACTAGATGCTAGAAGAATGATGAATTACGATACTACATTTGATTAGCCTTTACTAAACTACCATGATTCAAGCATGTACCCAAGTAGCGCTGGAAGCGAGCACACATACTTCTATTGTTGATGTAGATCTAATCTACAGACCAACTACAAAGTATATCGGAGCGGAACTTTCCATCGACCCCGCAACACCAACGACGTCAACCCCTCACGGCGCGCCATCCATCGCAAACTTTCTTACACTTCTCTTCTCCCCTCACAGTATTACCCTTTCCACCGCTCAACAACAAACATAACCACTACACACAATCTACACACCAACAAAATGACCGACACAGCAGATGCCCCCCAAACCAACAAGGCCTTCGTGCCCCTCGGTACCCCCCCCCCCTCCCCTCCCCCCAAAAACACCACATATAACCACACCAACTAACCATTATTACCACTATTATTGCACCACAGAAAATAACCCCGAAGTAATGACCCACCTCGTCCGCCAACTCGGCCTCTCCCCAACCCTCGGCTTCACAGACGTGTGGTCAATCGACAGCCCGGACCTCCTCGCCTTCATCCCCCGCCCCTCCTACGCCCTCCTCCTCGTCTTCCCCGTCTCCGCCGCCTACGAAGCCACCCGCCGAACCGAAGACGCGCCTCTCCCTGAATACACCGGCTCAGGTCCCAACGAGCCCGTCATGTGGTTCAAGCAAACAATCCGCAACGCCTGCGGGCTAATCGGGCTCCTGCACGCCGTGTCGAACGGCACGCCGCGGAAGCACATCACCCCTGGGTCCGAGCTAGATAATCTGCTCAAGGAAGCGGAGGGTTTGGAGCCGATTCAGCGCGCGGATCTGTTGTATGAGAGTAAGGCGTTGGAGAGTGCGCATGCCGATGCGGCGAAACTGGGGGATACGGATGCGCCGGCGGCCGAGGACTCGGTGGACTTGCATTTTGTGGCGTTTGTGAAGGGTGAGGATGGGACTTTATGGGAATTGGATGGGAGGAGGAAGGGGCCGTTGGTTAGGGGGGTTCTTGAGGAGGGGGAGGATGCGTTGAGTGAGAGGGCTTTGCAGTTGGGGGTAAGAAGGTTCTTGGAGGTCGAGAAGGGGAGCGGGGATGGAGATTTGAGGTTTAGTCTTGTTAGTTTGGGGGAGGTTTTTGATTGATTATCGAGTTAGTGAAGGTGGGATGTTGTATACCCGGATATGGTGGATGAAGTTGGGGATAATTGTTGTTGTTGTTGTATGAGTATATCAAGCTCACATATCTTTGCCTTCTTCAGTATCATCAACCCACCATTCCTCCGAATTGAACTTAAGAACATCATCCCCACAAGCCCACCATCCAGCAGTCAGATTCCGCGCAAAGACCTCTAAAGCACTATACGGCACACAACCCCCCTCCAGAGAGCTAAAGAACATCCTCTCAAACAGCTCCTTCAAACTCGGCTTCCGAGAATGCACATCCGGAACAGCCGCAATAACCCTCCTGACAACATCCCCATCCTCAGAGGATTCACGCACCCGCCTCCCAATAACAAGGACCTCATACGGCTTCCTCCACAACCCACCCACCTCCGTAATCGGCCTCCCATCCATAGTCGTCTTAAGCCAAACCCACTCCTCACGGACCTCAAGCCCAGCACCCCGAATAGCCTCATAGGCTGTTTTCCGTGCCTTTGCGGAATTAGTGATCCAGATCGCTGCTATCGGGGCCTTAGTATCTGCCGTGCCTTCTTCTCTGTCAAAAGCATTATCATATTGCAAATGTCCCCGCAATATATCACGTATGCGTTGCGTGAGAAGATCCGATCCTTTATAGGACTGCGTCTGATAATGACCACTGCGCCGAACGGAGCGGTTTGTCCATGGTGGGTCGAGGAGGATTAGATTGAACTTTTGCTCGTGTGGTAGACCGGGGATTAATGCCTGGTGGTGGTGGTGGTGATGATGTGATTTCTCCTGGATGGGTTCGGAGATTGGGATGGTGCAGCGGAGGAAGTGTGATAACGGGGGGATGTGGAAGGATTGGTAGTTGTGGGTTGTTGTTCTATCATTATTTGATTCATCTGTCGTCGATTGACAGCGTATTTTCACTGTAGCTGGCTCGATGGATTTGTTTTTGACCACGGTATTGGATAGCTCTGAGATGGATGAGAAGGCGTTATCTCCAGGCGATAGAATCAATGGAGTATCATCGCGAGTAGAGAGTCTATTTGAGTGGATAGAGCCAGAGTCTTGATTTGGACATGAACATGAACATGCGGTAGTGCTGCGTTGTCGTTTCCTCTTCCCTGGCTGAATCTGCTCATATCCACCCTGGGTTGAATCACCCGGGCTGCCTTGTGCATCGCTATCTACAATGATACGAGGCAGGCACCACTCATTGTTATTTTCGAGTGCTGCATTAAGCTCCGTTAGCTTCTCAGTCACCAGGGGTTCGATGAGCTCGGAGTGATAGCGTCTTTCGGAAAGCGGGATTCTCTCTAGAACCCTCGCCCGCGCAGTCTCAGTCTTGGGCTCCGTTGACGATGGATAAGGTTCCCTTAGAGGGGTGGAAGATAAAAGAACTCTTCCTCCATGATAAGATCCTGAAGCAGAAGGGGCTGGATGGGGTCGTGATGGCGGAAAGTCCTGTCCTGGAAGCGCTTGTGCTTGCGCGATGGAGCTGGGAATATCGACCACAAAGGCGGTGGCACTGGGGTTTTCGTAAAGTATTGAAGACTTGATGGCCATGGTCAGTCCGGGTTGGACCAGGGGATTACTCGAATTTATATGTGTTCTGGCTTAGGGGGGTGGGCATCATTGTGACGGTTCAAATTTTGGGGAGGAAAATGAAATGGAAGGTGGGTTTCAATATGGTAGTGACCAAATGCTTAGGGAGATTGGCGAGTTCTTATCGGAATAATTACAACGATCATTGCAATATACATATGGCTTGAAGATCGATTATCCCTGTAACTAGTCTCTCACTATAAGCTTATAATGTGTGATTCCAGCCACAACCAGTGGAGCACAGCTCAATAACTTGGACAGCCGGACTCAGCATCATGCCAACGCAGGCCATCGTTTTCATATGCTAGGCTGGGCCATCCACTCCCTAAGTGACCGAATAATAAAAAATAAACAATACCGTCTGGTCTCATATCCAACAGAATTATGGCAAAGAAAAAAACATATAACCAAGCCACAAGGTGGCAGAAATCACTTAAATGCTTATTGACATGACAAAGGCAACACCACTATGCTCTCAAATGGACAAAAATCACAACACTTTTTTCTCATCTCGTTCCTCCTTCCTCCGTTTCCAAGACGATCCAGCGTCGGTCTAGGTGTGACAAGGGTCATTTCGTTATAGCCATACTACTCTCTGTATCCCGGAAATCGAAAAAAGGGTAAGGGCAAAACTTTATACATCAGGTTGAAGTCAATGGCGAATTAAAGAGTTATAAGAAAGCCTCAATGCTGGAGATCAATCCGCATTAGCGTCGGTCGCCCAGGTAAGCCGTAGGCTCTCACATATGCTGGGGATGACTCACACGGCCACGTCGTCCACCCGCAGACTGTGTCTGAGCTGGCTGCGCTTGGGAATAGAACTGGGAAGGATACTGATACATCGGGGCGGAGTTCATAACAGGGCTGAATTGCTGGGGGGCAAATGTCGATTGGTTCATCATAGAGCTGGGGTTGATCTGGCCAGGACCGCCAGCCAAGGGAGCACCCGGGGTCTGCAGAGCCCGAAGACTGTCAGCCGAAGGCGTTCCAGCCGGGTATCCGAAGCTGGAATTTCCTAGGCCGGGGTATAGTCCCGAGGGGGAGAGACCCCGGGACTGGGCAGCCAAGTAGGCCTGATACTGGAGCTGTTGCTGGGTCAAAGGCGCCAAGGGCTCCTGGCCGAAGCCGGTACCATTGACACCAACTCCACCAACCCCGTTGAGAGGATTGAGACCACCAGCAGAACCAATGCTGTTCATTCCATTGATACTGTATGGATCAAAAGGAGCGGGATTGGGTTGCTGCTCAGAGGCAACGGGCCTGGTTGCGTCCAGACCTGGACCTAGCATGGTAGGGAACTGCGCACCATACTGCCGTTCCATGGACTGCTGGGAGCCGTAGTTTGACGCCGCCTGCCGGGAGGTTGGGCGGTGCTGTTGCTTGTCCGGGTTGGAAACATGATCACGTCCGTGGTGATTATCGCGAGCACCTCCCCGAGACGACAGGCCAACTTCGTCCATCAAGCGCTTGTAGCCTTGACTGGGAGTTGCCTTCAGCTTAGTGAGGACCTTGGAGACGTTCTTCACCACTTCTGCGCGCATAGACTCATCAAAGAAAGGCGTGGTAAGAACCTTGAAGATCAGCGTCGCGCCCGATGTCTGGTCGCTCAAGATCTTCTCCAGCACCTCGTCGCCTGGGCTGAAGAAGAGGGCCTTCAACACTATCTCACGGGCATCTGGTTCGTTGCGTTGATTGATCACCTTCAAGACAGTTAGGTAGGCGACCTTGTGGGTGCACAAGTGCACGAGATGAGGAACCAGGCGCGGTGCAAGCACGGTGCGACGTCGGGGGAAAGTGCAGGTATCCAAGAACCACGTCAACAGCAGAGCCCCGTTGGCATTCGTCGCAAGCTGTACGCTGTGGAGAGCAATGGCTGAGGCAAGCATGCGTTGCTGGTCCTTCGAGGCGTGGTGGCTTTCAAGGCATGCTCGCATGGCCCGAGCACCGAAGCGGCCCTGGGCGATTTCCCACATCCGGCTGAGCATCGTCTCGAAGATGAAATCATTGAACGGAGCACCGAAACGCAGGCAGCACTGGAGAACATAGTTGCCGTACTGGTCAAGGAAAAGCGGAACGGTGTATGGCCTCAGAGCATCAACGATCATCTGCATCTGGTTCGGAGTCTTGGCCACATCAATGATCTTCTGTGCGGCCCAAGTTCCGTTCTTGTGGACACCAATTTCAGCAAGGTGAGGCGCAATGGGTCCGAGCATCTGCTCCTTGGTTGGTTCCGAGCAAAATTCAAAGAGCTTCTGGACGACAGTGTTTCCGAGGTAATCCGACGAGAGCTCTGCGATTTCCGGCAGCATCGCAACGGCAGTTTCCTCAATCTCCTGGACCGAGCAAGCTCCGTTATCAATCCTCTTGCGAATATCGCGGAGCCGCGGGGCGTCGAACATCCTAGTTTGGCTAGGCTCGGCGATGGGAGGAATCTCATCTTCAAATGCATCAAAGGCAATTGCGCGATGAATGCTAGCGCTGATGTTGTGAGCATCGTCTTCCGTGGCCCCAAACTCGGTGACAATTTGTGCCATTTCCGGCTGCAGCTCAGAAAGAGATGGTATATGCGGAATGCTAGTACCGCTCTCCGGTCTCACAATACCATCAGGTCCGTTCATGCTCGGGTCGGGAGTCGGAGAAGACTGAGCTCCGTTGACGCCGGGCGTGCCAGAGGCGGAAGTGCCAGGAACTTTAGCATATCCGATCCGGACAGGGCCAGCGCCAGGGAAGATCTCCTTTCCGTTGAGAAGTGACTTGGCCTGAATAGCACTCTCAATGCGCTCATAGTTGACAAAGCCACAGTTCTTGTGGGTCAGTACGCGAGTAGACTCGATTTTGCCGTACAGGCTGAAGATCGCCTCCAGAGACGTGACCGTGGTGGAAACAGGAATGCTGCCAATCCACAAAGCACGTGTAGGACCATCCTGATTATTCTCATCCGCCAACTCTCCCGTTTGCCGCATTCCCACGTTAGGCGCGCCACTTCCACCAAGATGCATGAGCTGAACAGCTTCCGACAGCTCATCATATTCTCCGCCTTCCGCGATGTTAAGATCGGCAGCGCTAAAGCTGTTCTCGAGACGCGAAGGAGTAGCGAGGTAATTGCGGATCGACGAGCGCTGGGGAGGAGCCTCCAAGATTCCAGCGGTCCTGGCACGGGGTCGGCTGGCAGAAGCGTGGTTGGCAAATGCCTGTACCGCAAGGTTGTGCTGATGAATCTGAGCCTGGGTTGCGGCCAACTGGGCTGCTGTTGCAGCCGCAGAAGGAGTAACGGTGCCAGAGGGAAGTTGCGAGTAGCGGCTCTCGTACTCCAGGTCCTCGTCATCAGCATACTTCTCCTTCGCGTTCACCGAATACGATCGGATGCGGCTGTTATTCTTCATCATAGCCAGTTCCGCCAGCAAAGGGGGCAAGGAAGACTGTTGTTGCTGTTGCTGCTGTTGCTGTTGCTGCTGCTGTTGAAGGAGCATATTGACATCAGGCCGCACAAGCGTAGCTCGTGCCTGTTGCGGTGTCTCCGCCAAGCCCAAGTAGTCCAGCGTTTTCACATCAGTATCCGCAAGCCCGTCCCTGGAGAATGACGACTGGCTGGGAGAGGCAGGTCCTTCAGAAGAACGAATGCTTGTCAGTGTTGTCGCGCGCTCACGCCCGGTGGCCCAACTAGTAGAGAACAAAGACGGTCCGAATGGACCGGCAGAGCCCAGAAAGTTTGCTCTCTGGGGCATAGAACCTGCTCGGAGACGCGAAAGGGAACCCGCGCTGCCCCCACCAGGGGCAGTTGCGGTCTTCGCGCCTGTATCGATACCGGAAACGCCGGATGGACGGAAAGGGCTGGTTGACGGCGTGGGGCGGGACGTCTGGGGGATATATGGTTGTTGAAGGTTCACCTCATTCAGAGCACCGACGGGCGAAAATCTTGAGGGAACAGTACCAGCTCTTGCTCTCCGACCAGGGCTATTGATCGAGCCGCTGGAGGTAGGCACCAGATCCGGAAATCCTTCCTGGCTCGGGGACTCCGGGATATTCTCGCGAAGAGGGGTTGAATGACCGCTAGTCGGCGGACCCCAGATACTGGGTGAAACGCCTTCCTCTGCCTGGATCTCTCGCGCTCTAGTTTAGGAAATGACAGGCATTAGTCTGCGAGGAACGGAATGTGCGCATCGAAATAGCTAGAGTGCTTACCGTTTAGAGTACAAACGAGCCCCAAGTTCATGAGAAGGGGATCCAGCCCCTAGCCTCGCGCCGCCAATTGAGCCTGCGGCTCCATTCAGACCATTCGATGGGCCAAATGGCGACTTGATGGCAGCAGATCCAGACAGATCACTGGGAGAGCTACGCCCTGTACTGGTTCCAGACATTGGTTGAGTGGTCGGAATATAGTTGAGGTTCATATGACCATCCGGTCGTGAAACAGGGAGCATTATGAATTATTTCCCTCCACCTCAAAACAAGGCGGACACCGGACACCTTGTGTATGAATACAAGTAATGATATGCAGTTGTCGGGTCGGTAAAGATGCTGCTCAATCGAAGGGTTGCCTCACGAGGATCATGTGTCAGTTCGGTCTGTTGAAAACCAAACCTCGATAATTGAGAGCCGGTGTCAATGGAGAGCACCGGGGCAATCAACACTGAAACGATTGATCAATGAACGTATAGTTCGACGCTCGAGGAAGCCAGCGTTCTGTGCGTCCAGCCGGTATGTGGATGTGCTCGTGGCGGGGTTGACGGAGGACTGGGTCCGAAAGAATACGTAAGCTTGAACGAGCACGGATGCTCAGGAAATAGGAGAGAGACAGCGAGATCGATGGAGTAGTAGTTGTCAATAGTTGTCCGTTAAGCGTGAGGCCCAGTCAGCTTTGTCACCCTGGGTAATGATAATCTTTGGACTAGTGGCCAGATTCGATTGCCACGATCCACCGCAGTGATTAGGTCCCGAGTGTTCAGAAAATATCGCTAACCCGCAAGGACCCGCTCGAAATGACCGCAAGGACACGAGGAGATTGAATGGGAAAATTATCGAGCGAAGGGGGGGGTGGTTGGGAGGAGAGCGAAAGAAAGGAACGCGAAGGTCGTGATGTACGGGGGTGGATGAAAGGGAAGCCGAAAAGGGTCGCTGGACTCTTTTAGGGTGGCTGGAATAAATTGCGCGGCTTCGGGCAGAAGCCAGAAAAAGATACAAGAATGGAAAAGACCGACGATAGGACGATACTAAAAGGGATACTGAATTGAAGGATTACTCAAAAGAGAAGAGATTGGGGGAAGAGGGAAGAGGGAAGAGATTGGAGAGTAAGACAGGAAAGGGGTGCATGAAAAGAGGAGGCGTAAGAAGGAGGAAGAAGAATAGATGGCGGTGGATGTTGGTGAAGGGGAAGAGAGTAGAGCTGCACCGGCGCGGAGGGAAAAGGTAAAAGGTGTGGAAAAGAGACTTCGAGAGAGAAGGAGGAAGGCGGTTAGTTTACTTAGTTGGGGAGCTCAGGTTTGCCGGATCCCGGGGGCATGTCATATCCACTCCTCTGGTTGGCCGGTCGGGTTCACCCATTCTCTTTTTTCTTATTACTCGAGAAAGTGTGCCTGTGAAGTGCATGAAAATTAAATGTCTAAATTTTCTGACTCTGATGGGAATGACCCTCATAATGGTGGTCCTTTCGACCTTAACATTGGTGAAGGATCCTTCCCTGTTCATCCTCATCCCCATCTTCATCCCTTGGTGCTCGTGCCCACTGCCCAGCTGGCGATCAACCATTATTTTCTGCTGCATTTGCTCGAACCCCCGGGGAAAAAAAGAGAGGGTCAAGCCTGTCGGTTCGGTTCATCGATCAATCCCCCTCCTAAATCCGATTTTCGAGAAGCTCCTAAATAGCGCATGTTCCACCCTCAGCCTTCCACAAATCCATGATCGGCTCTCTCGCAATAGTCTCTTGTCAGCGATAATGGATAATTGTCGCTATACTTCCATAGTGCTTACTATATCTTTCAATATTTTGTCTCATTTATCACGTAGATATGGATATTAGAGTTGGATCTTATGGTCTCGTACTCACCGAGTACTCAGTAGAGTTCCACCATTTCTCTCAAGAGGGTGTAGAATTCTAAAAGCGGAAAGAGATCAGGCCCTGGTGGAGTCGATGCTTCTGGATAGCATCAACATTCTATGACTACTGTCCAGTGTGGTCCAGTGGACAGTCTTACAAGACAACTTTCTTTGTCCTGGAATGTTCAGCAAATCAGTTTCACTTCTGAAAATCACTGCAGATGACAGTTAATCTGGTAAGGTCACAGTGCAAAGCGATACAATTTGAAAGCAAGGTGAATTCATATATATTATTATTATTGCGGCACCACTGTCTACGCCTAATCCGGATCAAACCTTCACGCATACGGCAATGAAAAGCATACCAATGGCCTTTTGGACATCCTTGTAAGGATGTCGGAGCTGAAACGGGGAGGGATGCGACCCAGTTCTGGGTGATTGGCACTCTGAAACGTCCTAAGACCCCGCATTCCACCGTCCGTCATGTGTTTTGACATTGATCACCTCTCTTCTTTCCCCCCTCGATTGCGGCAATAAGTATGCTTGTCGGATGACCTGCCTTTCATGGTGTTTACTGGATCGGCACATGGCTGGAAAAGCTGAAAGCTGTTTTACTAAACACTCCACCGCTGGCTTCATTCCGAGTAAACTCGTCTACTCGTAACTGTATACTACTAGAATTGAGCTACATTCGTCATGACCATGGAATATATATTGGGACCAGTTGCTTCTAGGGCAAATGTGTCAAATCCCTCTCGTGGGGGCAGTGAATGATGAAGACTAGAATGCAAGGGATAAGACATACTGTTGTAAAGGGATGGATATTGTAAGGGGAATTTCTTAAAAGATGTGAAGTCATCGGCGGAACTCTTATGCAGGAACGCTGCCTGTAGTCTGTACTACGGAGTACTTACTGAGTAAACCGTGCCACATCCCTTGAGGATCCGTCATGACATACAGCAAGCTAATCAATCATGGCGGTAAGCCAATCGTGCGGGGTCAAACTACAGGCTACTATGGATATGGTTCTCACTTTTCTTATTTCAAGCCAATATTTCTGCAGCTACTGCTACTTACAGGGACTTGTGCAACGCGGTACCTGACCCAGAGTATTCTCGGGTCGGGCTGGATGCTTGTGGTCCCTGCCCGGAAGACTCGGGATGCCCCTCAAATCTCATTATCGTATCAGGTAGCTCGAAATTCTAAGCCCAGACAGAGTGTCTTGCTACGTGAATTAGAATTACTCCATCACAAATATTGGTGATACCCAAGTTCTGTCTTTTCACTCATCTCATATAAATCACGTGATCATGTGTATACCTGAGGCATCAGTTGCCCACCCGCCACTGCCCTGGCGCCGTATCTGCAACGATTTCCGGCACCGCCTTGCCAGAGCTCCGTTGCAACAATAAGACTAAGGAATCTAGGTCCAACTCTCTTTCTGCCTCCCTTTGCTCTCCACCCATTAGCGGTGTCTGAGGAACAACTGGCTTCTACGTTTCTTTTATAATGAATTAAATGAGCAATCTTACCACAAAGTATCACGCTTGGCCGATCCCATACGCGCCCGACCGGACTCGCGTTTTATCGTGATTTTACGGTCGGCTTCCGATAAACGACTAATGTTTCTCAATCGCCGAGTTTGAATCAAGAACGGTCCTCACGAACAATGGCAGATGATTACGAAAGCCCCTCCTCCCCGGAGGAGGCGCCAGTCGAGTCGCTCATTCAGGGGCGTGCGAAGCGAAGCACAGCCGGCCTTCATATGTCAGCTCTCCTGGACGCCGCTGCCGACGATGATCTTGCGCTCTTGTTCGAGGAAGTGGAGGATGACAACGAGTTTGCGATGGATGTGGAGGAAGAAGGGGGAGAAGAGGATGATATGCGCTTCGAGTCTTCCTCGGATGATGAGGATGATCAAGGACCTGAGTCTCGAGCTGACGACATGGAAGGGGAGCAACAACTACAGAAGGAGGAGCGACAAGAGAAGAAAAAAAAGAGAGCGCGAGAAGACCTTCGATTCAAGATAGCCAGCAAGAAGGTGAAAATCGATCCTACTGCTGTGTCTACAGTGCCTGCTCCTCGCCCCAAGAAGAAGTCAGAGCGTATCTCATGGATCCCCACGCCGGAAGAAGGGCCCACGCGATCATCCTCTCGTCGCCAGACTATGCAGAACAAGGAACTTACGCATGCACGCCTGAAGGACAGCGAAGAGAAGCGCATCCGCCTCATTGCCACCATGGAGGAGGCAGCTAAAAGGAAGGCCCAGTTCAAGCCGAAGGAGATGACGCAAGCCGAGCGTCTTGCAGAAGCCGAAAGGGTGGAGAGGCATAACAGCAAGAGTCTTAACCGATGGGAAGAAATGGAAAAGAGGAAGGCTGAAGAAAGACGTGCGAAGATCGAGGCCCTTCAAAATCGCCGCCTTGAAGGTCCGGTTATGTCGTACTGGAGTGGCATAGCAACCTGGGTTAATGGTCGCTTAACGCGCATTGGCAAGGTTGATGTAACGCCAAAACCGGAGAAGGAGGATAATAATACACGCAAGAAAAGCAAGAAGACGGACAAAGAGAATAAAAATGTGATAGAGCAAAACCCGACCGAGAATCCTATTGTTGTTGGTTCTGCCACGTCGCAAACAGCCCCTCCTCCCACCCAAACTGAGGGTTCTACGCTACCACAAACATCCGGCGACGGAGAGCCTGCAAAACCGAACCAAAACCCTGAACAGCAGCAAACAAGCTCTGAGCCCACTCAGACCAATGGCGCAATATCCCAAGAGAAACCCGTTGATACGCCAATGGAGGAACCCACCCCCTCTCAGGTGAACACAGAGGCTCCTGCTGCTGCTGATCCTGTACAGCCTGCCACAACTGCAGTCAACGACGAGTCTGCTACAGAAGCAGTGCCAGAATCAGGTTCATCAAAAGTCGAAGATGAAAAGAAAGAGGAAGCTACTGAGACCAAGGCTCCAGATGCAGCTCCGGAAGAGGGCACGTCAGATGAGAAGCCAAATGTACAACAAAAAGACGACACTATACACGCAGTTGACGCTCAACAGCCCACGTCGCAGCAGTCTGGCGAGAAGCCTACGCTAGAATCCGAACAGCAGCCTGACCGAGATCCACCATCTGCGGCCGCAAAGTCTGATGACGCATCGAAGGAAACAGTCCCTGACCCAACCGCAGCCGCTGAAGCTGTATCTGAGCCTGCTAGGATGCAGCAGGAGCTGTCTACTACTACAGTACCAGATGTTACTGTTGCCCCTTCGCAGACTAACCCGCAGAAGGAGACGTCCAATCAAACACAACCGGGCCAAGAGGCTCCGGAGGTGCATACAGACCAGCCAGTTGTTGTGACTGAGGAAACCCCACAACCGCAGGTTCCAGAGGCCCCTCCAGTTATCGAGCAAACAGGACGAACCCTTACGGTGTTGGAGAACTTTGATGACAAGACCGCCCAAAGTCGCGAGTTCAGTATCTACTTCAACGCAAAGAAACCTCCTAGGCTAACCAGTATGTAATGCACCTATACCTCCACTGCATGCACGAACACATTGGACATGCTAACAGCAAAACAGAAATCTCTTCATCCCTCTGCGTTATTACATCACTTCCCTCGCGCTATCGGGATCCCGAGACCTCCCTGCCCTTCGCAAACTCACATGCTTACAATGAAATCCGACATACGGTGGCACAAAAGTACAGTTGGAGCCCGATGCTGGGATGCTACGTTGGTCCTGTCGGAGTCGCTGCGCGAGGAGTACCGGCGCGGTTCCTCGGCGGCCCTGAAGCAAAAGAAGAAGAAGCAAAAGAGAACGGAAAGGGCGATAAAGGCGCTAGCAACGAGGCCACCACTACTACTGACAAAACAGAAAAAGAAAAAGAGAAAGAGAGCGAAGCAAAGACTTCCACCAAAGAGGCTCCATCTACATCCAGCCCTTCAGCTGCAGCTGCACCCGCTTCCGCACCCACACCAACAGCCACCCCCGTTGCAGCTACCGTGGGCGATCCAATGGATGTCGATAAATGATTTCCCCTCTTCCCTTCCAGGCTCGACGACCTGGGAAAAAAGACGGAGTGGATATTAGTATTCTATTGCTCCGGCGTCTTTATGTTTCTATGCCAAAGATACCCACTATTACATCTACACCATCGTCTCTGATCACATGGCTCAAAGCATATCATACGTAATATCATACGGACAAACTGTAAAGTAATAAATATGCCTGCCGGGGCAAACTTGATCATATTAAACCAATTATCCACCTACTACCGAGCTCATGCACCATGCACCATGCACACCATACCGGCTCACGCCCGCAAACCCCCCAACACTAAAAGCAGAGAAGCAGCGAACGAACGCACAGCCCCACGGCCAAAATCCCTCAAAAACCAACGGACCAACCACGGCGTACAGTATTTAGCTAAATTGCAATCCAGCCCGAAATGTCCGTGCCAATGGCACGCGACACCCAGGAGATACAGTAGATAGATAGTAAGTAGTATTTCGTACTAGTGAGACCGAAACCCCTTTCCCAGCCCAATCGTTATTGCAGCATATGTGAGACGCCCATTGGCACGGGACATCGATTACACTCCCATCGCAGGTGAACTCTCATATGCTCCTGCACCATGGTGGAAACTGCAGGAGTTGGTGGCGATGTGCATAGTTAGACCCGAACCGTAGGAAGATTTATAAGAAATAGAAGGGAAATAATAAAGCAGGTTGGAAGGAAATCTTACGTGCATTGCAATGATTAATGATTATATTGATTTTATCGCTGAAAGGCGTTAGGAGGGTGTGATATTTACTTATTGACTGCGGTAAAGAATTAGCTTGATTGGACAGGAGAGTTTTAACTAGTAAGTACTAGGTGGGTGATACATAATACTAAATTTAATAGATATCTCTCATAGTGATGGCAGTGGGACTGTGTTGCATGGTTTGTGTTACCGTCACGGTCTACATAAACAGATCAGACAAGAATGGAGACACAGGCAAGCTACGTAGTCTGGCCGGGGAGTGGATGTGTAGTCTGTTTTCCCAGTTGGTTGTAAGAGATGGTGCTACCGGAACAATTCATGTGTAGAATAACCTGTCCTGCGAAGGTGTATGTATGTATGATGGTGGGGTTACTTGCGAGAATTTCAAGTGCAGAGAAGGATTCTGGCCAGGTTCGAGGTATCTAAGGGAGAGAGAGGAAGGCTTTTGTTCGCTGTTGATATTAGTGGAACTTAGCGAACACGAGGTCGCTAAATTATGCACTGAAAACTGGATGTGTTCAATAGAGCGTAGAAGGTGGTATATACTCTGCTGCCAATAGTATTCGTCTCCATTACATCGTAATTAGTAGCCAATAAACATCAAATACCCTTGACAAGCATTCTAACGCCTTTACTTCCCTGCCTGGTTGCAGGAATGAACATATCAGTCGCGAACTCTACATCCTCGTTGGTTGTCTCAAAGAGCTCCAACCATCCCCCTTTCCCACTCATTTCGTCCTCTGTGCAGCTGTATAGTCTGAAAATTCTCGAGACGCAAATATAGAGTTCCGCATAGGCCAGATTGATACCCACGCATGACCTAGACCCCTTTGTGAAGGACACAAGGTACCTATTAAGCCTTTTACCTTCTTTTTCGGCCTCAATCCACCGTTCCGGACTGAACTTGCTTGGCTCCGGAAAGATGGTGGGGTCATGATGCACGAAAACAGAGTTCATGCTCATAGGAGTCCCCGGGGGGATTATCCAGTCCTTTGCACGCTTCTCGTCATGGAATGTCACTGCTTCATCGGGAGATACACGTGCCAGCCGGCCAACAGAGCCATAGGATAGTCGCAGGCCCTCTTGGATTACGGCAGTAAGGTAGGGAAGGTGCTCCAGCACCTCGATACCGACGCTTGCTGTAGGATCAGGGATGGAAGCGATCAATTCGGCACGAAGGCGGGATAGAGTATGCGGTTGGCTCAGTAGGTAGTATGTGATAACCGATAGAGTCCAAGAAGTGGTCTCAGTCCCGCCGGCTACGAGTATCTTGGCTTCCTGGCCAAGCCGTTCGACACTCTTTTCTGAAACTGGAAGATCCGGATTCGCTAGCAGATCATGGAAAATGGTTTTTGACTGCTTTCCAACCCCTAATCTATCTTTATCGTTCATGATTTGGTGCACCTGGGCCACATTCTCGCGGGTGAAGGACTGTAGTCTGATTAGCAATAAATTTCAAGCTTTGACGCAAAACTAGGTAATTGCAGTAGTACCTGTTCATCCTCAAGCACATTTGCAACCCTTTAATGCATTGCAGGTTATATAGTTAGTTCCAATGCCTGGTGTGCCCATTTTGCAGAGACACGGATCTAATCGCACTCACGTTGGGCTAATCCATGATACAATCCATGGGGGAATAAGCTGCGCCAAATAGATGAGCCAATGATAGTGCTTCATCCAATGCACAACTTTGCTCATAGCAAGAACGGCCTCCTGAGCTGGCTCACCAAAGTCAGGTTTCTGCAATCTGTCGCGCGAGTGGTTGAAACTGTACTCCATAATGACGTCTACATCTGTGAGTATATTGCCTGAAGGGAGAGTTCTTGTCTTCACCGTCGTCCATACCATTGGTAAACGCAGCATAGGCAATATCCATGCGGACCGGCTGGCCCGTATTCTTAAATTCATCCAAACGTCTAAGAAGTTTGTCGACCTTTTCCCATATGACAGGCTGCAGCCGACGTACACTTGCTTTTGAGAAGAATGGACTCAAAGCGGAACGACGCATGCGATGTAAATCATGGTCTACGGTAGCAAAGGTACTGTTGGGCGCTCCAAATTGGTGTTCAAATTGGGGGTTCAGATTTCTCTTCTTCTTGCCGCCGGGTGCATACAACTCATCATGAAAGGTCGATGTTTCGATATGAAGCTCTTCGGGGTTGATGCGAACAATGGGCCCCTATACATTTTAGTGTCACTAGATATAGTGATTTTCGCAACGAGGTGTTTCTGCTCACGTAGCGCTTATGCATATCCTTGATTTTGAAGATATACCGGCCACCACATATTGCATCGTAATAAAACTCATAGCTGAAGCGCTCAGTCAGCTTTGTCATCCGCTTCTTGCTTCGCAGTGTCCAGATATCGATAAATGGAATACAGAACTTACTACCAAGTCACAGCCGCCAGCGGAGGGCCTGGGAAAGCCGCAATGGGGCTAAGGTACAAGCGATACACGATGCAGCCTATCACGTAGGCAAGAAATACAGTTAGAGTTATACTAGCCAAGGATAAATAGCTGAGCTCCCCAAACAAGGTCATTTTGAATATAGACTCGTCATGAAAGATCGTCGACCCATTTGTATGTTCAGGTAGGATGATGTGGGAAAGGTAAAGAGGGGACGAGATGGTGTGAGGGGTAATGGCCACTAGCAGTAGTCTCAAAGGTCGGCAATTACTGGCATCTGCTGTAAACGGCTCCGATGCTTCCTTTTTGAGCAATATTCCGCACGCGGAAGACGTGTCATGATAGCTCACAAACGCAACGAAGTTATTGCCGAAGAGCGCATGTTGACATGTATCAAAGTCACATACAAACTTATACAATGCTGGGCAGACATAGTAGTAGTAGCTAGCGTTTACCCTTATCAATTCTCTCAGAATTGATCTTGTAGCTTTTAGAGATAGGACAAGATGGTTGATATTGCCAACCATACAATGCTACTGGGTATTCTTCAATACCATAACGTTATTCTTATGGTGAACATACAGGAAATAGACCGTAAAGGTAATGACATTATCTTCATATGTCTTTTCTTTTGGCAACGAGACATGTACAATCTTACGGAGTAAGCTTTATCACTATGCCTACCCCTCCTTCGACTTTGTGGGATCTTATCAGCTTCCAATGCTAATTAACTTCTTGTTCTTGGCTCGAATCTGGTTAAGTTCGTGGAAATTGCGGTGTAGAAAGTTTGAATCTCGGAAGTAGCTACGGTATAACAACCTTAAAAATTGCATCCAGCGAGTCATTGTTTTCGATAAGTGAGATAAGAGGAATGAACGAGCGTCCGCGTGCAAATGGGATATCTACTCCTTTCTTCCCTGATGCGGTAATGTCGCATGTGATAGTAAGTAACAAGATAGGAAGCACATATGATAGGTCTACAGACTGAATGACTCGGGTTTAATCAAGGCAGGAGCGACGATCGCATGATGAGAGTAGTATTGTCCAGCTCCTGTTAAGTTATCCAACTCAGTTCAGTTCGCATTAATGACCCGCGAAAAGTGCATCCGTTGGGTAGAGCAGATATATCACTTTACAGGCTTCAGAGGTAACACAACGTTTGCCCCGGATGTAGTAGGTATCTACAAGGCCGTGGAAGCACAAAATGCAACAGGCCAGATTGGACAGACAATTGGACATGCAATACTCCGTAAACGTGTACGCAATGTGGGAATTTAGAATCTTCACATCCATTCTAGACTATCGAAGGCAAAACGTCAGCTAAAAGGACCTAACCTTGAGGGGAGAGAATGGACGATCCTTTTGCTCTGTTGATAGCAGTTCAGACTCACCGCTATGGTCGAGACGCTGAAGGTGTATGTGTGCGCCTATCAGATTATGGAGCCCTAGATCCAGAATATTCAGTTCAAGATGGTGATGTGTTGCGGCAAGGCCGAAAAGGGGACGATCCCTGGAACGAGTGGGTGGGAATCCCCATCCGTCATCGAGTTAGTAACATCCAATCTCAACGTCGGATGTATAAATATTTGCTAATGGATGAAGAAGCTTGATCCACCAGACGATCGAGAACGTGTCACTTCTGTTATTTTCTACAGATGCAGAATCCATTATTCACCAGTCAGCACTAAACCAACTACCTGTCCGTTTCCACTGAGTGTTCTCCGGATAATCGGTCTGTACTAGTAGATAGTCTGCGCTGTTGTTGCCAGTCAGTCTGTGACATTGCCCCACTATTATTGACCCCATCCCCAGTTGGCATCATAGACTGGTTTGAACGTTGCAGTCACTGATGGCATTATAGTAGAGCTTTGTTCAAACCTTTGCTGCCGTGTGGGACTGCCGAAATATGGATGGAATATTTTTGTTTTGCCTCAGAGAATTGTCTCATCTATTTCTGTCCATCGCGGCTTTGCTTCGCCTCATGACGATAGCCACCCGAGCAGGCCATTATCGGCTCCGCCGACTCTTCTTGCTGCCTAGTTTCTCCCCTTCTCCTCCTTTGCTTCTCTGGAATACAGGCTAGCTAAGAAAAAGTAAAACTAGTACTCGAGGCATTTATGGCGTCACACAATATAGGCCATCCCGAAATGACAGAAAGCCATTGAATTAACTCCGGGTCGGCATTTCCTTGTTTGCTAGTCAAGTTTAACTGCCTCCCTGGCGTCCAGTTTCGAATCACTGCTCCCGCACTGCGATAGGGCTCACTCATTGGATCTAACGGCGGGTGATCCTGCCGCACAGATCCAACTAGGGGAGAAGGGGGGCGGCGCTGCAGAAAAAGGACTGAGCTCTGGATGGAGAAACAGTCCATGTGTAAGCCTGTACGTTAAGCATTGGTTGGTTCCCCTTGAGTCCGGCCACCAAGGCACTGTCTAGACCAGCAGATGTGGAGCTGGGGTGTTTTACAGCTGACGCTCCGTGTTGACGATGGCTGCCCGATTTGAGGTGACAAACTGGGCTGGTCGGCAGTGATGATCAGACCTCAGAGCCCCGCGTAGCAGAGATCCAGCCAAGCCAAGACGACGACATGTCATTCGCATGAGACGAATGGTAGAGGTCCTCGTAGTGTTCCTTCACCCCGATAAGCGTGGTTCGGTCGGTTAAGGAAAAAAAAGAGATCGGAATCTCAAGGAAAGCCAAATGAGGATTCGAGGGGCAATGGAAAGGGCTCTTATCGTTCCGGTCTCTGCACAAGATGGACGCGGTAATGGTTACCTTATCGCGATGATACCCCGCCTGGACATAAAAAGAGACCCCAACACTAGAACACTGCAGTACTGTACTTACGCACGAGTACCATATAAGAACAACGAGAGAAAACAACGGATTCGGAGGGGACGAAAAATCTGTTTGTGTGCTTCGTCTTCCATCCGCAATACACTCCCCACCGGATCCAGAGTGACAGCTAAATATAGTCAGTCCACAAGGAGAAGTCAAAAAGTCGTTCCGGCGGAGCATTGCAACGTTCCCCAGTCATATACTCCGTACGCGGAGTGGATTAGGTCATCTATGGGTGGTGAGGTAAGCCGAATCTGTTGTGTGCTTTCCCCATTCAGAAGGGACGATTGCGCGTTGTGCTGCCTGCCTCAGGCAGCAGACGGCAGTCCGGCAGTCTAGAACTCCCTTCCCCAGCCCAATCATGGCGTGACTCAACTGAGTCTCGCCTTCCCTCCCGGCCCTGACGTGCTCGGGCGTCACCCAAAGTGGTCACGGTAACTAGTAATGGGCCGAATGGAGGGACACCTTGGGGGAGGGGGATGTGAACAGTGACCAAGGCTAACCTAATCCCCCTCATCATGCTCTCCCCATGTAGGTGGAACAGAGTTCTAGAATTTTTGTTGCTTGAATCGATTTTCCGGCTCTGGTTATATCTACCGGGCTGCTCGCTTTCTCTGCCCTTGGTGTTCTTATCGTGAGAGACGCAAACAGCCTTGAATCTTTCGACTACCACAACAAGAAGACTCCTCGGACTACCTCTTAAGTATTCTTATACAATTGATTTACCGTCCCGGTGCCTGTGATCTGGTGCTCCCTTCGGTATCCCTCTTTCAGTATCGCCTAATTATTCTCCGAGCGATTTTTCTGTTTTCCAGTCGGCTGCACGATACTCTCTCATCACCGCCGGTCAATAATCCCGCTTAGCATTACTTACTCCCGCCCTTTTCGGTATCAGGCCCATTGCACGTGCGGTGTACCTTGGAGAAGACGGCACACTGGTTTATAAGAAAGGGGCCAAACTGAGAAAATAGAACAAAGAGGGATTTTATCGCAGAAGAAAGGGGCAAGAAAAACAGAATTCTGCTATTCCTTTGGTATGTATGTCCCCCTACCTAGCTATAATTATCCTTTTCACTTTTTCTTTCGTTTGTCGATTACCCGTTTGTTACTTTGTTGTCCCTTATCTCTCCCCACTCAGAGGCCGGTGATAACGCTCCCTCAGCCGGCCACCAACGTCTAGTAGTACTACTAGTGAGACTGGTTTCATTTGTGACCTATCTGACCATTCTGGTGCCACAGCAGATACACACAGAGCAGGAAAGAAAAAAAGCTTATCGTTGTTACTGTCATTACAAAGAATTTAGCGTTCGCCCGCTACATATTTGCCTCATTGCCAGGGTTTCCTCAAAAATACGAAACCACTCAGGCGTGTATTCCCTTGCCGTTTCGCTCAAATCATTCGGCACATGCCATTTCGGCTGAACGAGGACGAGGCATTATTACGAAACTATATCATCCAGTACTACCGTGCGAGACCATTGGTCCAACCAATTGTGCAGTTGGATCCCTGCTAGACGCAAATCCCTCATACTTTCTGACCCCATAGGGGCAAGCTCTCGTGCTCCACAACTGGCGCGGTTCGGCGCAAGGTACCATCGCCGAATTATTTTCAGATAGATGGTTTTTCTTCTGGTCCAGTGTCATATTTATATTTAACCATATCCTCACCGCCATCCATGACTCAAAGCAATAACCATCATCGCCGCACTCCCTCGGGCTCCAATGTCCCTAAGCTGAGGAACTCTCGACCGGCTTTACATCGGAGAGGCACATCCTGGGTCAACCACTCCATATCCAAACTAGGCTCTGGACAAGTCACTAAGCAGTTGGAATTGGAGGACGACCGGCAGCCCGAGATGGCGGCTAGCTTTCTTAATTTTTGGTATGTGTGTTATGCTATCTCCTAGTATCCTTTGTCCTGCCTTCTCCCCAGCATGGCTGCTTTTGCCAATCCTCGCTCATCGCCGTTAACCTTGTCGCTTATTCCCCTTGCATATCGAATAATCGCTTATCTTCAGAATCGAAGCTAACTGATCTACAGCGCCATGTGCGAAAAGCAGATAACAGTGCCTGACAATTCCCTTTTATATTGTAGTGAAAGGTATGAGACTCCTTATCGCGCCACAGCCTTGACATGCACAGCCTCCACTGTTGGTTTAAATTCCAACAAGTTCCCCTAGCCCTTCCTTTGTCTCGTTGCTCGCTCGCTCTCTCCTTTCATTCAGTTTCTTAACACATTATCTCTGCAGTTGTCGCCGCAAAGACTCCCACAAACCGCTTTCGGCTTCCTTCTCATCGAACTCCTCCATGTCTTCCTCAACAACTCCACCTGCCTCTCCTCCTATGTCTCCTCGAATGATTGTTGCACCCATGACTCCTACGAAAGGTGCCGCCAGATCCTCGATCTCCAGGATACCCAGCGAATGGAATGATTCCAAGACGGATCAGGATCCATCCGAATGGAAGCCAGTGATACCTATGGGGTCTGGTGCAAGTTCTCTGGCGTCATCGGAAGCTTGGAATTACCTGTCCCAGTTTCACCGTGATGACACTATGATGCCTGTTCGGCGCCCGCGGTTTGATCACCGCAGTTCGACAAGCCTGTCGGCACTCTGGAGTGCTACGGGGCCTGTTCCACCGCTGATGCACACGCCGTCCACAGCTGCATCGTCGGTGAGCAGCAACGGGTCGGACTATATGAGCTACGTGCATGAATCGGCCTATCGTCCACTGCCCCCTCGGCACAAGCCCCAGATTTCTGGTTGCTCAAGCGCCACGAAAGGGCTCGACTTGGTGGTGCCCCACGTGCATGTGAGTGTGGAAGATGTGCCCGCCGTTAATATCTCCAACGATGGGTCGATATTCCCCGCTAGCAGTGCTCTATGGGATGAGAAGCCCATCGAAAAGACACCCACTCTGAAGACGGCCTTGGGTTCACCGAACTCTGACATACCTGCCCGTTCCCTGGAGGAGACTTCATGATCGTACCGTCACAATTCTGACGCTTTCCAAATCGACCAAGGTTACACATGGTAGTCGAAATTACGAGCGCTCAGATGCTGTGCACTTGGATCATGAGAAGGGCTAGCCTCAGGCATTATCTTTTATTCCTTGGTCTTCTGTTTTTAGTCATTTTGGTATATGCAAATATTGAGCGGGAAAAACACAACAGATGCATTAGAGTCAGCATGAATACTACGAAGCGATGGATGATGGGTGTGGAAATGGCACCTTCCTTTTGGACATTGAGCTCAGCGGATGCTTAAATAGATTCTTAATACCACACGGTCTTTGGGCATATGTATAGACAAGCGGGTGTTTCTATATAGAACTGAACAAGACTCGGTTATTTTGTGAGGATCTACCTATCAACTTGTGATCTACCACTAGACCGACCTAGGGGTATTTGTGTCTGTCACATACTAGGTGCAGCCTTAATTAGCAGCCGTTGCACTGCTGCCAAGACTAACAGTACTGCCGAACCTGCCGAATGCCCCGTATACTTGTATAAATGACTAATCACATACATGAATACGGGTGTGTCTTGTTATGCATTGAACGAGTGGCATGTAACAGCCAAGAAAAAAAGAAGATTGACACTACTTGCAGCGCCTCATTTGCTATACACTCGTCATACAGGCAGCTTGGCTGGCAAATAAGTTACAAAAATTACGCGGTGCAAGTCATACAATCTCAGGAATCTTAGTATAACATGCTGCTCACATCCTAAAGGAACCTCTTCCCCACCTTCCTCTCTGCTCCTGATATATATATCATACTACTACTACTCTAGCATAGCTACTTATTTAGCATCATAGCCCGAATAAAATCTTGTTCGTGGATGTGCCTCGTTTGTATTTACATACTCTCCATTATATCCGATATACATGGAATAGATACGCCTAATTTTTGGGGGCCTTACAATGGTAAGGTTGCGGTGGCAAAAGAGCAAACAAGGAAAGACGATGAAGATGTTAGCCAAGCAACTGAATACATGTGTTTATCTAGCTGCAGGGGTGTCTGCAACTGGTGCAGCTTCTGCTGTGGATTAGCAGGTGACGCCATTATCCAGCGGTGACTGGATCTATAGCCTACCATCAATCTCTTTCATCTCTTGATGTCTGCTAACGGCCTGCATTGAAGAATCCAACATTTGGAGATTGATAGCCCGCTTACAAGCGAATGCTTTAGCATTGTATTTCTGGGAACTCAAAATAGGTACCGGAACTTAGTAGACGAGTCCACTGTGGACACGAATTCTGCCCTTCAAACTGAAGCTTGAGATCCTCAAGCCTAGAACAGGCAAATTGAAGCGAACCTCGTATAATAAAGACCTCGTAAATAAAGCAGATTCATCCGTCAGACTAATAGCAAGTTGCTACAGTGCTAACGTACCAAGGTTAGTTTCGAGAGCTTTCCAGGGACGGCAAGCACATTTGCTCTGCCAGCCGGAAATCATTTCCATCCATCCCCCGTCAAATGAACTTGCGAGCGTCCCGTCGTTTCTTTTCTTTCCTTCTTGCCATCAGCCCGTTGTCAAATTCTGCATCGAATGAGCCTCAGAAAGTCTTTCATGAAGGTTTCTCGTCCCTTGTATGACGTTTACGCATCCGTCTCCCCTGTCTATCAAATAGATCCAGCTCAGGGATTTCACCTTCTGCTCCCCTAGCTTCTTTACCAAACCTCCCTGTTCTGGCTCCAGACTGTTCTCGTCAGAGAAGAGCTTGGTTCCAGGTATTTCTCATCTTTTCTCGTCAATACACGCGGATCGAAGTACCTCTCATGTCTCTCGATATCGCAACAAGGTCTGCCCTGGTGCGCCCATGAAAAGTTGGACGGACTCACAGCAGGCTAGAATGTGGCTGTGATGAGAGTAGAACGATGCAAACTCTGTCATTGCACTGAAGAACCCATTACTGACTTGTCTGGACATGGATCAGCCTAGATAAATAACTAGTTGTGAAAAGGTTCGAGGACTCTACGTCGCTCTCTGAAGGCTACAGAAAGCTCGACCAAGACCTAGTCTCTGTCGACAGATATACTTATCACTACCTGTAGGATTGGACGCTATGACTATCTCTCTTTCCGTGTTCAAACAAATCGCGATATTCGAACTTGTCTAATCTAGCGCTGACGAAGATTCAGAGAGTCCGCAGACCAGATGTGCCATTTTCCACTTTCCCTTCGACCAACGTACCTCAGCAGACCCGATCACCTATGACTTCGACAATACGAGAAATTGGAGATACCTTGAATACCTACATCTGCAGCTGTATCACTGTGGGGTCATACCCCATCAAATCCGAAGGCTGCTTACACAGATTGATCCACTCGGCCGGGTTTGTCCCATGGTCGGCGATGACAGGAACAGATGCATGTTTGATTACATGTCGTCGAAGAACAAGGCACTCAGTCGAATGGAAGTCTAGACACAAAGAATGAGGTATAAGATTGAGTGGGAAACTATGCCACGATCGGCTAAACTTGGCTTGTTGGTAAAGGCAACAACAACTGAACTTTGCTCAGTGCACAACCTATCCGCTTTATATATCCAAATACGACGATCGGTCGAGATCCAGAGCTCCTATATCTCAGATACAAGGAGTCTATGTTGATATTAACACTCGCAGAAGAAGAGAAGACGGTTTAGCGATCGATAAATCTCAAAAGTTGAACTAGCACCGGCGAACGACTTTGCTTGGACACGATAGCAGCGCACGATTTATGATGAAATGCCAGCACTAGGGTTTGAAAAGCTAGGATTTATTGCAATGCAGAGTGGACGAGAAGGTGCTTGGCTAGGTGCGTCGCGGAAGCACATCCTCTCTGACGTGACTAGGGCTGCATTTGTCTACTCGGCACAGAAACGAAGAGCTACGGTATCTGACAGTAACAGGCGTGCTGCAACCGACAAAAGCCACACGAAAAAGGTAAAATAGGCCAATATGATGACCAAAATGTGATAGGAACTAATTCTTATTGCCCGTGGTTTGATAGCATCTGTGCATCTATTAAGCGGACGCAGTGTGTCGTCGAAGGGCCATCTGCAGTCAATGTTGCCCAATGTACCGGCTACCCTACGCACGCGCTACTCTTCCAACTACGAGCCTCCGAGTCGAAAACACCCCAAGTCTACGAACTATTTACCGAATCTGCCCACACTACTGGAATATCTGCAGTGACGAACATGCCTTAGACACGAGCCATTTTCCTTCTCAAAGTCGAAAATAATACACACACTACAAGCAAGGATTGATTTATGACTGACTTCTCAATACAACACATTGCAACATAATGTACATGCCCAGGGCGCCGGATTATGGATACTTCTCGAAGCACGGCACGAGAAACCAGATAATCTCTATTGGAGAAACATCGACTGATCCGGGACATAAAATGGTGGATATGTTGGTTATTTTCAATCGTCGCCGCCAATAATGTCATCAGGAAGAATGTCATCAGGGAGACTGTCCGCAAAGCCCCCCGCATTATCATTATCGAGGCAGCACATGTAGCAACCCAATTGTGCTTGCCACTGTCATAACAGTTAATGAGGGCCTTATGCCCAGCATCAAGGATGTGCTTACCTCCGGTTTGCTGCAGGAGAGTTCGGAACTCTTAGGGAGGCATGCGCCCGTGCACAACTTGTTTCCAGTATCAACACCCTGGGAACCTGTCTGGGCATAGACATGAGATGCGAGGAGGGCGAAAGCCGTAACGAAAAGATTGGAAAGCTGCATCTTGCTAATTTGATCAAATGAGTGGCAGTCTGAAAACGAAGGAGTGGACACCGCGCGAGTTCGGCAAGAGGATAGAATTAAGCAGGCAATATCATGCAGGCCATCACTTGCATGGGTGGCAGCGAAACGTGAGTTGCTTTATAAGTGCTCCATTTCCCCTTGCTATCTGCGAAGCAAGGGGGGAACTTGCACCTGTTATTACTGTGTCGCGTCCCCCATGCTAAAAGCTTAGGAAACAAGGCCCAAAGAATGCTGCTCACCTATGGGCATGGATTCCAGGACGACAGATTTTGGTATGCTCTTCATCAAGAAGTCAGAGCAGAGCAACAAGATGTCAACAACATCGACTATGGTCTCTTTCTTTCCAGAGCCCCATCAATCTTTATTATGTTCCTGGAAGGGCTACAGATCACGTCTATTATCTTTCATTAAATATCAATATCCTGCTAATAGCTTGATAGCGTGTGGCCATGCTTCCTACTTACAGCATGTCTCACATTCCCAGCGGAAGGGCTCACGCGCCACGCATAAGGGGCATAACTATCCTTACAGGGATAAATTATCCGGAGCAAGGGAAATAACAAAACACTTACTAGCAGTAGAACTCATACTACCCTTCGGAGAAAGACACTAAAGTAAGTACAAGTAAAGGTTATGTAATAATGTCAAATGTCATGCTCAAACAGCATCATTCACTTCTGCCTGGGAGTTTGATTTTGCGCTGATGCAAGTCCTCGCTATGTCTGACTAAACTATACAGGGCATATGAAACTTTGGGAAGTGCACATATATACATGGGCAGTAAAAACCAAGTTGTGTCATGATTATCACTGACATGATATGAAATATATGATTCAACTACACAGCAGTTCTGTCACTAAACGATTACGTGAAGAAAACTTGATCTCCCTGTCGACGTGTTTAGACCGCTCGAGCTAATCCAATAAAGGTAAAGTACTTTCTTCAGGGCAGGAATTACTAAACCACGTGTAGTCCTGTTTTCACAAACCATCTCCTCTAATCCACACCAAAGAGTGTGATGAACAAAATCAAAGGGGGTGGCCACAAATTCTGACCTGGTAAGATGTGTGGACATTGCACCAGTAGTCATCTTACCCCTGAGGAGTTGTAGACCAGGTATAGACAGACAGGTGGCAATTACCCGCAGGGAATTTCTTCAGTTAGCCAGGATCGGCTCGGATATGCCCCATCTAAGTTGATGATGACCTGCATATGCAAGCTTCAAGTGTCTTTTCTGGGTAATATCACCCCGGAGGACCCTGCATGAGAGGGGCTGAGGCGGACTAGTTGCATATATTCGTAGCCTGTACGGAGTAGTGAGAGGATGGATATACAGTAGCATGAGATCGGCATATACTCCTCCGTAGGCTGCATAACCGGTCCCAAAAAATGGGCTGGCAGATTCCACAGTGTTCCGGAAAAATTATCCGGAGGGCAGGCTATGGGAGCAGGCTCACAGAATGGTGCCAGCACATCTGGCTGAGACTGGGCCGCAGAGTTCCGCCTCGAGACATGGTTCAGTAGAGGGCTGACGAACTTCCAACGACCGGAGCTGAGTAGATACCTGCTTGCTGTTGCTGCTTTCCTTAAGCTCTTGGTTATTTCAGGTCGAAAATGGCCAGTCAGCCTAGAAGGCTTTCCGTTGAGAATGGTCCTTCCAATCGAGCACTGCAGTCTGCGCGAGGCACTCTTGGGTTCCTCACTGCTGGCGATAAATACGCGGAAGAGCGCCTTACCGGTATACCTTTGGATGCCACCCGGAATGAAACGCCGACGAAGATCTGTTGTTGACCATTAGTTTTTGCACTTTCTGGATTGCAACCTCTTTTAGCATGTTCAAAGTCTGCTGATCAAGCGAAGTCGACAAGTCTTCATCCATACAAGTCATGTTTTGCATCAGCTCATCTGCAAAGTCATAGAAAGATGTTGAGTGCGAAAGTCCGCCGGCATTGCGAAGACAGCACGGATCCTTTGAGCCATTAGGTCAGAACCGATACAAACTTCTCGCACTTATCCTCTCTCAGCATGCCCCTTGGTTGGTAGCCTGTAAGCGTTCCCAGAATGCATGACCTGGTTTTCCAAGCTTTCGGGAGATGACTTCGGAGGCGTTCAGTAGTTGCCCAATGAGGATTCCTGGATATATTTTCCTTCGCTAATGGGCACTCACCTCGGCGCTAGAAACCACCGGTTCGTCTGGTTGTTGCTGCCCTTGCCCTGCTCGCTCCGCCCCCCTTTTCTCTCCAGGTAGGTATTCCTCATCTTCTCCAGGTTTTATGGTTGCGTTTTCTAAATGGCCAGTGCCTAACCTGAAGTAGAATCCGCGAATGTGATTGATCTACTAGAGAGACAGAAAACCGATTGGCAAGCGAAGACTATCTCACTTTCGACACAAATTTCTGGCTTCTGCAAAACTTTGCGCTTGTGCGGATAATACTGAGCGAAAGCTCGCCTTCCTGCATGTGGTTTCATCAGAGCCGGAACATAGTCTCTTACAGTTTGCTCTTACCTCTACTTCCGAGACGACTTGCCCCACGCCCACAATGGCCAGTGTCCTCATGGCGGGCAGTGGGACTTGCCGTCGTTGCGAGTCCGGTCAATACCCAGAAGTAGAGCAAGCCGGTTTCTCATACCATCTTCCGAACTACTACAGCAGCCTGCCCGCCGGTGGAGCGCCAGAAAGAACCTTGGCAAGTCCGGACAATCTGTTAGGTCGGACCCAATGCCTTCGATGGATGCCTTGTCCACTGAGATGTTGGCATTCAAACCGGACAAGGCGTGCCAAAGCGCAAAGCTTGATATGCAGTTGCTTGGAATAGCACCTTTCCTCTGCTGCTATCAGTATCACCCAAATATTCCAGACTCGATAGGCTGCACCACACCCAGCATTCAATCGGTGAGGCCTCTGCCCAATGCTGGTGCCCGAACCAAGAAGCCAGTATTGGTTGTACGGATCCAAAACAAGACGTCGCACATGGTACTTTTGATGGAAGCGTGTCGGACGGAGTTGTACATTAACAGACCAGACGTCCATGCTAAAGCGCACTAGTTCCCGTGACGTAACTCGACATATGACAGCATAATCATTCGCTGATCCAACACATGAACGTGATTGACGATTGCAATACGAGCGAGAAAACTATCCTGGAGTCACACAACAGGCGGTAGGCATATATAATGAAGTCCTGAGCACCATGCGTATCTTATGCAGACTTGCAACGAAGCTATAGGTCTGATAGATGCATGCTCATCGAGATGAGGCAATCGAAAAATTGACGCTAGATCTGCACGTTAAGTCAAGCCAGACTACGAATCTTGGCGAAGATGTTTCCAAGATAACGCGGCAGATTCCCCTAGATGCGCATTACGAGCATACCAGAACGATGGGCTGCTCACGAAAACGAGCCGAGGTGCCATCACTGCGCCCAAAGCCTAATGGTTGGAAACTAAATGACCCATCGTCCTGTGGTATCCCGTTTACCTTTATCGCCGACGAGTATTGAGCTTGACTGAAAGGCACTTCTGGATTTCATTCGACAATCGGAATGACTGGGGCAAGAATCCAACTCTCAGAGGAGACACTTCACATGTGTGAAACTTGCTTGCAGTTGGAGAGTACATTGGAGTTTTTTGACGCCTTCATCGTCACTGGATGTGTCGAGCGAAGCGAGGCAAATTGCGTAAACTCGGCCATACCTGCGAGCAGAATGCTCCGAGGACTGACAAACCAGCTATGCCGTGAGTTTGTGCCACATCGAGAATTTGCCAGTATATATGGGAGTAGCCAAACCCGAAGACGCATGTGTGTCTTGATACCATTGTTGTACCCTCAGCCGCTACCAGTGTGTTCCCACCGAAGACAAACAATCGCCGTTCTCTTTATGTTGACAACAAGACGCAACGCGGGACCGCTGAAAACTTAGATGATGTGAGCCTGACGATACCGAACTTTGAATGCAATTCTCCTTCTCATTGCAAGGACGATCTTCGAGGAACTTGTCGCGATGAAGTCGAGTTCAGGAGGCGATTCTGGTTCTCGGAAGGTACGATTCTACTTATTCTTCGTCATCAGTGTGCAGGTCTGCGGGAGAAAAAGGAGTTGATGTGACGCCTGTTCCATGATTGTCAGTTTGAAGTTTCCATAGAAGCCAGCTCTTCTTCCAGGCCGTGAAGCATTTCTCCAGTCAACGGGGCTAACAAAATAGCCACAAAAAGCCGGTAGCGGCTGTCTGCTGTCCTGGAGCCAGGTTGCTGCATCGCAAAAACTTCCCGATTATGATACATGATATTGTAGGTATAAAAGATCGGCTTTGAAAAGATCGGACAATCTTGAAGAGAAAAAGAAAAGAGGGAAGGATAGTGACCTGGTTGACGTATAGTCACGGCACCAGATGTTCCAGCGTGCACTACAGAAGCGATGTTCCCCCGATTGGCGGCGGAGACCAGAGGGAGCGAGGATTGGCTGGGAGTTTTCTCCGCGAGCACAGTACCAAAGGTTGCCAAAACCAACTAACAGGGCTAACCTGACAGTGCTCTCTGTTTTGCGGGTAGCTTTATTCCATGGTTCTCGACTGGCCCGCTCGGCGAAATGTGCCTGCGGATAACAAAGTCGCCCGCAAAGTGGTCACATATGGTGCTGGACTCATGGGGTGCCATCGAGAGAGCAACCGTGACCGGTCACGACAGCACAATGATGATCCTTTCTGGTCTTTGCCTCTGCAATACCGTCCTATGGCTCCTCAAGGGCCTGTGATCGATCTGCTGAACACCCTAATGAACAGACTCTTGGCCAATAGTTAATCCCTGTTGGGGTGGCTTAGGTCAGGATGGACGCTTCCCCCCCTTCCCAACCCGACAGCTGTCTCTTCCTAGCCTCAGCTATTTCCTCTCAATAATTCCACCATTAAGCGGAAGATTCTTGTTGGGCCACTAGGCGGCAATACCCAAGTGCGTGGTCAACCACTGCATCAACAGCCTGAGCATATCTTGCCTCCACTGGTAGCTCGGCTAAGCATTTGAAATCGAGAGGCACCCATATTACGGAGTACACCTGTCACCAGATCGACGGAATTCCTTGTCTTGTGGGGCACGGTTCAGCCTGGACCTTCCACGATATCAGTCGCCACTTTCCTTCTCTAATCTGATCCTTATCGCTCCTGCAACATTATAATATACACTCCACCGTCGAGCAGGCATCTCGACGAAAATCAAACGAGGGGCATCTCCATAGGTTGGGATTCGAGACTCCCGCCTCTGCAGACAACAGGATGAGACAAGAATACACTGGCTCGTCACAAAATGGCGATCCCAGGTAGGTACCTTGTTGTTAAGAACCTTGTTTCTTACCCGTATCCTCTTGACAGCATCGGTTGACTGTTTGATTGCCAATAGTCGCCGCAACCAGAGCAGTCAAAGCGCGCGCCCCGATCCTCCAGACGACTCTTCTCAAACATCTGACCGACTCGCCGAGGAACTGGTTTATTACCGAAGCTTTCTCGAACAGCTATTAGGATTAGTGCGCAACGGTGATCAGGATACTGTCAACCAGATGGTCTCCATGATTCGTTCGGATGCATCTCACCAGCAAATTCTGGCAGCCTTGTCTGAGAACTCCGCCAACGATGACCAGGCTGCCCAAGGGGCCCGTGGTCGGAACAATCACAATCCGAACTGAATATCTCCAACACTGTTGTTCCTCGCATGCCCAGCAGGGGTTGTCCGCATGACGCATGATCGTTTGACATGGTCTTCACGAGGTGTCCTGGTCCCCTTTGAACGCAGATGAGGGTGGTGGGATACAGCTAGACGAGTTATTCGTATATCTTTCTGTCTAGTATCATATTAGTCGGCTTTTTTAAGACAAGGAAGTCTACCTATCTATCGTCTCACAAGCCATCCCAGAGAGAGCCACTACCGGCAGTTGATATAGCTGCCGTGTGCTGAGAGAACGCTGTGTACGATCCTTAAGACCAGCAGATGTCTCGTACCAGGTATTGTGTTGCAGTCAGGCTCTTGTTGCACCATCTTTATCAGTTAGCATACTGTATACCTAGAGGAGCCATGGTAACCGTCCCTATGGTCATAGCTCGCTATTCCAATGGAGGCAAGCCTTGGATGCACCGCTATCCATTCCTACCCCCTACTCTTTTGGCTTAGCATAGCCATGTGCTAGCTGGGTCTCCGAATGCCCACTCTGGTGAAATAGGGTGCTCGATGGGCATAATCGACTTGGCTGCTTCCTTCAGAGGAGCTGCATGAGGAACCACCTAATAAACACCAAACGGCACCCATGGAAGCCGTGACTTACCCAAAACAGCTATACATACCAACTGTCGCACTTAGTTATCGAATTCAAATTTTGACAATAAGAAATGATGAGTTGAGAAGGTGATTGAGCGATCACCATATGTAGAGAGGCAGTAGTAGTCGCTGCTGGTGATGTCAAACGGAGCTAAACCCCCTTGAGCGTCCAACCAACAACATCCTTGGCTGCATACTATGGTGGTGCCTTCTCAATACGGAGCTCCTCTTGCAGTGTCTCATTAGTCTTCCCCCACCTATGATACCAACTCCATCCCAGTAATGTGCTGATACTCTGTCTACTTTCTGCGTTCATCTACGGAATTATGTTATGACGGACTACGGTGCAAAGATGCCGTTTTGAGTGCTTCTTTACTTCCATCGCGACCCACCATGACCTCACTTCCAGTCTCAATAGCTTTTGTGCAGTCCGACATCAACTGCTTTTATTTCTTCATCTAACGACAAGATGGTGTCAAAGCGACCATGTGGTGATGACTACATTGAGAAAGAGATATTAGAAATTTAGAAGCAATCCGAATTATACTTTACGATAGATTGTGTAATAATACCAGAAGTGAATAAAACATGTCGATTTGCTTTCATAGTCGATATCCGAGAGTATTAGCATGACTACCGATATTACAAGTGGAGTGAATCGGAGCATCATGTATCTATAAATCTTGTCTACGACATCAAAGCGCCTAAGGCGTGCAACGGCCTGTGAAACGAGGATACAAGGAGCAGTCGCGAACGGTATAACGAGCACACAACCAAGCCAGGAAACGTTCGAGACCAAGACCGTAACCACCGTGAGGGGAAGTACCGTACCTATATTGTTGAATTAGATTAGTCATACGTCTCTTAAAGTTTATTCGTGGCGGAGAGAGGCTCATGAAGGCTTGACTTACTTGCGCTGGTCGGTGTACCAGTAGTACGGGGAAGGATCCATGCCTTCGTGCTTGTAGGCGGCCATGAGCTCATCCCAGTCATCCATTCTCATACTACCACCGACAATCTCACCAACACCAGGCATGAGAACGTCCACACTCTCAGTGACACGGCGGTCTTCGACATCCTTTTTCATGTAGAAGGCCTTGATCTCAGCGGGGAAGTGGGTTAGGAAGATGGGCTGGTTGATGATATCGGTCATCTTTCTCTCAGCAGCTTCGGCAATGTCATCGCCGAACTCGTGAGGCTTGCCCTCCTCGTTGGGGATATCGTGTTCCCGCAGCCATTCAATGGCATCAGAGTACTTCATCCGCTTGAAGGGGCGACTAGGGGGCTTGAAGTCGGGGTTGAGCTTCTCAATGAGGGCCTTGGTGGCCGGCTCAGCCAGAGTCAGATCAATAACACGGCAGATAACGTTCTCGAGGTGATCGAGGAGGTCGTTGAAAGTGATAAAGTCAAGCTCAGCCTCGATGTGAGTGTACTCGGACAGATGGCGACGGGTAAGCGACTTCTCAGCACGGAAAGAAGGGCACACACAGAAGACGTCGCCAAGGGAGGGGAGGCAAGTCTCCAAGTAGAGCTGGGAGGACTGGGTCAAATAAGCATTCTCGCCATAGTAGTCGAACCCGAACAAGGTGCTTCCACCCTCCACCTGAGTCTGGACCATGGCAGGAGGGGTGACTTCCAGCATACGGTTCTCTTCAAAGGTCTTGCGGAAAGCCCGGAGGGTAGCCGCGCGAACCTTCATGACTGACGAGGCGGTCTCACCACGGAGAACGAGGTGGCGGTTGTCATAGAGGGTTTGCGGATCAGCATCAGGGGCCACCCTGGTGGTGATGGCCTCCTTGTCACCAGCAGCGCGGCCAATGATAGTGTAGAAATCGGCGTGCAGCTCACGGTTGTTGGGAGCATGCTGCTTAGGTGGGACGGCACGCATCTCACCATGGATAGCAATCGAAGTCTCAAGGGTAAGAGTCATGGCATCGTAAGTCTTACACAGATTTCCAGTCAGGACACACTGCAGGTAGCCATAACCATCGGTAAGAGTGAGGAAAATAACATCCTTCTGAGCACGCAGACGGTGAACTCTTCCAACTACACGAACACGAGTTCCAGGAGTCTCCGACTCGGGAGATCCCAGCGTGACAACGGCCGGATCAGTCACATCAAGACGGATCTTGGTGGGCTTGGGAAGTGATGTGTCCTCCTTAAGAACGACCTTCTTCGCCTCCTCAAGAATAGCCTGTCGCTTCTCGGCCTCCTGCTTCTCACGGATAGCCAATTCTTGTTCCTTCGCAGCCTTTCTCTTCCGTTGCTCATACAGGTTGGTGGCCTTCTTGACCGCCGACTTCGTGGCCGGCTTCCACTCCAACTTAGACGCGGGGTCGGCACCTGCCTCCGTGGGCTCAGTTTGGGACTTGCGGGTCAGGTACTGGTTGCCATCGGTAGGAGCGTGCTGCATGAAAGCATGAAGGAGGGTCTTGTAGGGGGCAGATTCAGTTCCGTTGGCGGTCGAGTCGTCCCTGCCGACATCTTCGTCAATGTAGATAGAGGCCATTTTGGTGTTTCGGGCGTAGAGAGCTGGTCAGCGCAAGTGAAACGTGGGTTATGAGCTGGGCTCTGGCGGAAATGTCAGTCGAGATGTGTTGCGGAGACGCATGTGAGTCACCACAAGAGTCTTCTTATCGGGCGCTCATAGGCATTGAGAGATAAGACAAAAGGACAGAAAGCACTCACATATAGACCAGTCACTCTGGCCAGGAAGGCGATTATGCAGCAAGTCCCGCGGGAATGGAGGCCAAGATGTTCAACTCGCACAGTGTGAAAGTGAACAGTGGAGGGGTAAATTTTTGGATCCCGCTATCCCCACGTATTATTCAGGCATCAACAAGGCATACATACTGCCGCCCAGCACGGATACTACCTTATCTAACCACTTGGAGACGCGGGATAAACATACGTCCGGACGATGTCTTCTAATGTAGTAGTCATGCGGCACCAAGCCCTTTATCCATGAGCAATCTGAAAGATTCATACTTTGGATGGAGTAGTCTGAAGAAGGGTACACATCGGATGATGTCTAAGAGTACAGTAGACCACTTGCGCCGATAGAGACAGTAGTCGCTGTCCTGTACTTCTCAATCGCCACGTCATACTATCTCCCAAAGATATCTCCTCCCTCCCCAGCCAGCAGTTCCTACGGGCAATAACTAAGTCTGTACCGGAGTAGTGAAAGGGTTATTACTGTACAGAGTATAGTAGTACTAACCATTTGCAAAATGGCCCGCCATGGAAGGCCCATGGCGCCAAGACCCAATGGTTCTGCAGCCGGACCGGGTCAACATTTATTCCGTCAAGTTCAAGAGCCGCTGACCAGGACACCCCACCAACACAGATCGTTCGTAGACGCTGTGGCTGGTTGAAAGTCTCCTGCTAGCCCCAATTCCTGGCACAGTCGTTGATTGATCAATCATTTACGGCCAAAATGACCGATCGCAATGTGGGAAAAGCAAAGCCCCAATTGATGCGTCTCAGGGGATGACATAACGCCTGGAGGCGCTGATACCGCTGCAGGGCGATAGAACGGATTATAGGCTTCTCAGCATTTGCTACGGCCGAAATTACGCTGTCTCCCGACATGTTGATCGGCCACCGTCTGAATATCAATCAGAAGGGGTTGTTCTTGGGCAGGCTACGTGATACCTCCCATTCTGAGACCGATTGATAGCAGAACAAGGCGCTTGAATCTGCGTGGAAGCGCAGCGTGCTTGCTGAGTGGGAAAGCCGCTGCTTAGTGCTGCTAATGCGACGGATGACAGATGGTTGGATGGAGTCCTTTTCCCCATCTTTTGCCTCAAAAGTATGGATCTGCTAAAACCTTTCACTCCACAAGAATTGATTACGCTATTACTATAATTATCCATTGGGACTTTTCCCGCAGTCAAAATGATGGTTCAGGTTCACTATGGAGCATTGACTGGTTGAGGAATCCTTCTGCCGCAAATCCCCTTTCTTACCCACCTGCTTTTTCCCCCCCTTTGATACATCGATTACATACTTGCTGCTTTGTCTCGGCCCATTCCTTGCTTACCTGACCCCGTACCAGTCTGTCTCCTTTTGGCTAGTTCCTCGCGTTCTTCACTATCTGGGATTGTTGGTTCTCCCACAACAGTTCCCTTGGTTCGAGTGTGACTTTTGTTTAATTATTCGGGTTGTTGATGATAATTTTCTGATAAGCTTTCTTTTGTTTGATTACTGTTTACTGTTTACTTTTCATTTTCATAAGATAGTTTTGGGAAAGCACAAGAGAAGAATTGGAGGGTGTTGTTCTTGTTCTTTTCTCGCGGATATCATTCATCATTATCTTTATTTTCCTCTCACTATTTATCGCGCCTGTGTCCCTCAAACACGCGCCCCCCTTTTTCCCCTACCAGGGGCCCTCTTTTTTCCTCACCCTTCTTTTCCGCTTAACTTGTACTGGCGGCTGTAATCTTTTAGTTTAATTGTCCTTTGCAATTACTTTCTCTCTTTCCCTTTGCTTTTCTTTACTCTTCGTCTACTGTTATTACCACTTATCCCTTTTCAGTTGGATTGTCGGCGGCCTTTGGATACCTTCTTTGTCAACGTTTGGGTCCGCTGCAACCTGGCACTCTGGCAGGTCTGGGGCGTTCTCCCTCTCCAGTACTCCGTACTCTCATTTGACAGGGCCATCTTTATTTCTATCATTATTTTTATCTTTTTATCTTTGTCCTTTCCATTCTAATCTCGGTTGGATCTCAGTCGGAGCACAACTTCACTCTTGCTTTAGTCTCTCGGCCTCCTCACCCGCAAAGCCCCCTAAAGCAACTAAACCAGCGCAGGTTTGTCTCCGTTTCCACCAACTCAACCACTCATTGTCCATGCACATTCCAATTGACTAGCGGGATCCCTTCTAGACACGTCCTTATTGGCAGTCTTTCTGCTCCGTGCTCTTTGCCGTCCTTTCTGCTCTTCTTTCTCATTTTGATTACCCTCATTCTGGCCTCTCCAGGTCTCTGTTTTCTTCCTTATTTCCCCCCTTCTCTTTTCGGGGGTGATCTTCGGGCCCGGCCTTTTTTCCCTCCCTCCTGGCCATTCCTACCGTGTTGATTGCCTAGTACGTCTCCCCCTTG